AGGTCCAGGCATGCGGACTGGCCGTAGGCACCGCGCTTTTGAGGTATCCCGCAGACGTATTTGTTATCTGAGCGCCGCAGTGTGGATAGCTAAAGTCTTGTGTGCATCGTCTTCATCTCTTGGGCAGGTCCCGTCTCTCTCCATCTCGTTGCTTCCCCCCGAAACTTCTCTTCACATCGGTAGGGTAGCGCAGGATATTGCCGCGCACGCAGATCGAGCGGTTAGGGTAGGTAGACACGAGTGGACGGATAGGCAGGCCGTGCGGCCGCGCAGGTGAGAACAGAAGGGATCTCGGATCGTGCGCAGGTCGTTGTTTCTCGTTGCGGAGCGGCGAAGTCGGTCATTCGGCGAGACAAGACGACAGAGGTGTCTGCATCGTCCAGTAGGGGGAAGAAGTGTGCCGTGGTGACTCTGTTTGAGCCTCGTATCTGCATGATCAGCGTCCTAGTTGAATATATGAGTGTGTTACAAAAGTTCCATCGAGCACGTCCATCCTGAAAGACGCAGGGGACGATCTCAATGAGATCTTGTGAGATGCGCCCGGCCGCAGGTTTGCACCGGGCGCAGACATCAGAGCGGCGATCATGCCTCGAACGCCGACAGACAGACGAGAGCGGGGGCGTGATTCAGATCAAAGCCAGGTGTGGTTCAAACGTTGGCTGTCAGGAGGGCGACAGAGGCATGAAGGATGGCACATTATCATGAAACGACATTCGCAGCCTGATCGTGACCTCAGATTTCAGAAAGTAGCGATGATTCTGCCGTTTGAGGTAGGCGGTGAGACCCGTTTTGGTCTAGCCGCAAGTGCTCGTGCGGAGAAACTGGCTGCCGTGCGGAGAAGGACTTGGTGCTGCCGAGGCTACGAGGCTGCAGACAACGAGGCTCGCGAGCAACGAGGCTGAGGCACCAATTCTACAAGGCGTTGAGGAAACGACGCCGCCGAGCGACCAAGCCTTGACCTGGCTCTCCTCTCGATTGCGGTAGGTAGCCCAGCCGACTCGATGAGACTATTAGAATGTGTAATGTCACTTTGCAACTTAGGCAGACGGTCAGCTTTCTCTCCAGCGACATGCCACCCCGGAAATCCGGGGACGAGGCACAATTTATTTCGCAGCCGTTGTGGAACAGGCTGTTCGGTGCGAATACACTCACTCTTAAAGACCTCTGTGTGCCAAATGCAGAGGAAGATACAAGTGAAGCTGACTACCGTGACTCGCCAGGAGAATTCGATAGTTGAAGGCAAACCCCGAACGAAGCCTGACCGTCACCGCCTTCCCGCAGGTCAAGTCTCTGGGCTATCTCCCCCCGATTTCCATTCGCACCAGAGTGTCCGGTGTCAGGAACGCTAGGGACTTCTGTGCGTCTCCCGGCTTCGGCGTCGTCCACACCACCATTTCGCCTTTTTCCCTGCCCCATGGTAAACATCATCACTGGCAGCAGCGTCGACTCGTCTAGTTCCTGACCCTACTCCACGTCTCCGAGTACAAATGCAGTGCCGCCGCCAAGCCCGGAGGATAAACGCCTCGCTGTGCCATGCACTCTGCGAGAACGACGAGTACAGGGGCACGAAGGAAGATTTTCACGTGATCAGAAAATCACGTGCTGGCAGTCATTGCAATATGTGCACATTCCTTCGGTCGTTGGCCATTACGATATCCTCCAATGGCGAAGGATGCGCACATGCTTGGTCCTACCATAGGAGACGCTAAGTTCCCAATTGGTTTCACGGCGTGTCTGTCAACAGATGGACCCCCGAGTCACGTCAGCGAGTCAGCAAGTGTGCGAGTCAGCGACGAAGCATGCTAGGGGTGGAAAGAGTTACGTGGGGAAAATATGCTTTTCAGATACCTCCTTCAGGCAATGCTCCTGCCTGAGTCGGGACTTTTGTGACACAGCAAAGCGATTTTGAATTTCGGCGAGGCATGGCTCAGAAGTATGTTTGTCGCGACACCGCCCTCATTCGCAAGGGGGTATTGGGGAGCGCACAGATGACCTCAAACGGCTCAAAGGTTAATCTCTCGCCCTGTGTGACGGAATGGCCGTGGAAATTAAATCCGGTGTGCAAACTTCGAGCTAAGCAGAAGGGGGGCTTGGGGTTCTACTCACCGGTGCCAGAAAACAGAGTTGAGGGGGAAAAGGATTTGTTCCCAACTATCTATCCCCCTGTCTTTTCCCATGCGTGACCATACCAGTGGCCTGTACGGAGAAGGGCAGCATTTGGTGTGTGTGTATATCTTGTATTCGTATGAATACGTTGCTCGAATCTATCCGTGCCCTCGGCCCGTCTTAACCCCGACGACACCAATTGGATGCACACGCCCGAGAGACTAGTTTAAAGGGGATGCGGCCAAGAGTGCCACTTGGACACTTCTTTCGCTCCGCTTACCAAGCGTTATGTCATGGCCATCCCAACCTCGTCTCCAGTTCCTGAACCTCTTCTGCGATCCTGTCACGGACCTGGTGTGCCAGGAGGAGATCTGTTAACTCGACAGAAACTCAGGGAGGGCTTGCTCGTTCCAATGAGCAAGCAAGCGGCAGCTAAGCCCGCGTCTTCGCGGCTTGGTGTCACTCATTGGTATCGACCGATACATTCCCGGATTACTTGACCGTCTCATCTGCCCTTCGCCGAGGAGAACTGTCGACTTATTCATGAACAAAGGGATCTCATCAAAAAGTGTTCGCGTGAGAATCTGTCGCGCAGACGCAACGACGACTCGTTTTAATCCCTCACAGGGCGGTCACTCAAAATGAATGGTCACGCGATAAAGCTCTCGACTGTTGCGGGGATGGTATGCGAACCACACGCGGACTGCTTACAACTACAGAACGCGATTGACCTCTTGTGGTGGAAGAGTGGTAAAGACGCGTCATTAGAATACTCCCCTTGACCTCGTCAAGGTGGAAGTCATACACGCTGCTGCCGAGGAGAGGAGACCGCCAGAGACGACATCGACTTCCAGTGGGTTCCCGCGTCTCCAGGATCTCCAAGCGTGGCACTGCAGGAGTCTGGGGCGGCGACGGATCCAAGGCACATTCGTCTCACCCAGCAACCGGCAGAGGCTATGATCGTGGGTTCGTTAACTAGCGGCTTTTCCAACCCTCAAAGGACTTTTATAACGCGATTGACCGCTTCTCCGTCGCCTCCGACGGTGTCAGTGCCTCCTTGTCTATCCATTCCTCGGTCAAACCACCGATCGCCCCAGAGTCAAACACCCACACATTGTCTTTGGTCATTTACGACGGCGCTTCTTACATCTCCGTCGGCCCCTTACCACCCAATCAACGTGAAGCCACCGCGTTCCGTCTCGAGTGTCCGGTTCAACCTGGCTTTCCCCCTTCCTTCCTTTGTCAGACCCGAAAAGTTCATTCCGCCTAGATTCCCACCATTACTCCGGGAGGAGACACTCCGGCAACAAACCAATGTTGCAACAGTCCGCAGCGTTCTCAATGTCGCCATATAATAATATTGGCACTTGTGTCGCGGAGATTCACGTGATTTGACGGCTTGGCACTGCCAAGGTTTATGCGAGACAAAGGAATATCTGTCCAGGGGAGGATCTTCGGTGGAACATATGCGATCGACGACAAAACGGTTTTGAAGCAGTACTACCCACACTGCGACGGCACGGTTGAGCATCAAGTGTTTGAACGTCTGGGCCGTCATCCCAACATCGTGAAATACCTGGGCTCAGGGGCAGTGGAGGACGGGATGAAGAGTCCCTTGAGTATCCGGAGCGCGGTCCAGGCTGTCGGACGGTTTCTGAGGCATATCTCCCTCTCATCTACCCTCCTAGGCCCCTCTAAACTTGGACTCGCGGACTCACGGCCTCTGCATGACAGCGCGACGTCGAGGCGGTGCTGGACACCAGGGTGTCTACGAGTTGCGAGTGCCATTCCCATTCCCATTCCCATACTGCTTTTCTAGTGCATCCTGACCTGGGCTTGACCCTAACACACCAGAATCCTCGTGAACGCGTACGTGGCCATGTCCTTCCCCCTCCCCGGGGCTCAAGCGTCTGGTCCGATCAGTGAGGAAGTGAGTATCAGTTCTACTCCTTTTTTCCCCCTCCACCGCCGTCGACTTCTTGCTTGGAATTGTCACTCGCAAGATCAACGCAGCGCACCGTTGCACCTAGAGCCCGGCTGGGGTGAGGTATCAGGCTCTTCGCCCGAAGCGTTACTGTGGAGAGCCAAGGACCGGCAGAAATTACCGGCGACCAGCAACACGTTGACAATCAGGACCTGCAGCTGCGCTCCGGTCAGTGATAGCTCGGCCCTCCCGGGAGACGAAAGGCTCAGTATGTAGAAAAACGGCCACTTGTCTCGAAGGATCTGCGATGGCACTATATTGACAAAGGCGACGATTGCGTAGAGAAATGCCCGGCAGTATCTACTTAGGGCGGTCCGAGGCGGGCATCTGCTCGGAAAGCACGTTCCACCGTCGAGGCTTCCGTTGACCACCCACTTCCAGCTTTGGAATCGATATGCAAGCCCAGTGGATTGTGATCTTGGGGTTGGCGAGGCTGCTGAGCAGATAGACTATATCTTTGTCTCAGAGGCCATGTCGAAAAGAGCCAAGGGACGCCGAGAGATATGGGATCGTGAAGACAAAATTGAGAAAGGGTCGAACATGGTGACTATGTTGGCCATTAAGCAAAGAGTAAACAGGAAGAAAGGGTGGGTGAAAATTTCGAAGCAAGGCTGGTGGGAAGGCATAATTTAATGGTCTTGCTTCTACACAGGAACAGAGTCGAAATGTCCCAGCATGCCTCTGCTGCTTGATGGAGGTGTATGCACGTGCAGGCACGTTGACAGCATCGCGTTCCACCACTCATCCGATCAGAAGTTGTGTTGCATATGCGTAGTTCCTGCCCGCAGAAACCAAGCGCGTCGAAGTCATCCTAAACCGCAATCTGATTAGCTCACCTACTCCCACGCAGGACACAGTGACGTCCGTATTCCGTGGGGCAGGGAAGATCTGGAAACCCACACGCCCAGTCCTACGCCTTCAAAATCTGGAGGAGGATGATGTTGATTCTGGTTGGAGGTCGCCATGGGTCCTTGCCATACTTGAGGCTCTGTATTGTTGAGTGCTGGTGGCCCTTCTTGTCTTGGTCACCGATCTTGCTCATTCTGACCGTGCCGGACCATATCGGAGGAACAGACGCAATGCTTGGAGACTTGGCCTGGAGAGCGGCCAGGGCCGAAGGGAGCCTCCTGACTTTGACACCCCAAGACGGCCAGAAGCACCTGATCTCATTGTCGGATCCAGAGGGGAAGGCAATACCACCCTCGGCGCTTCTTGCTGGCACAATGTCTAATAATTTCTTGTCTTTCAAGTTGAAGCGGCGTTTGGACACCCACAAGAACTTTGAAAAACGGCCCGCTCTAGCCGCAACTACAGCCTTGGGCCGTTCTCAAAACTGAACAGGTTTCTCCCGCTGGCAGGATCGTTCCTCACCCAGCCCTTCCTGCCGATCGGTTCCGTTGTCATGCTGCACAGCTGTTTCAAGGTCGACTCGTCGGCATGGTTGGCGATGAAGCGGCGGTTGTTGTCCGTCAATCGACCGATTATATGTCCTCGGAGGGGAAGCGAATCGCGGCCAAAGTCGACCGTGTAGGTCTGCAGGGATTATCAGCTCCGCGGTGGACAGATACCGACAAGAAGGAACACTACCTCAACAACCGCAGCGCCATTTGCTCGTTCTTCAACGGCTGGAGGCTGCGCATCAACAACGACTTCGGCAAGTGGTGGTCTTTTAGGATACGGTGATTCGTCTCGACGTGGCTGGGTCGACAAAAGAACGACATGCTGGTAAGTCATGATCCCACCGTTGGCGAGGACGAGCCCGACCTTGCCTCTGCCGGCGCGGAGTGCTCGCACCATTTCTGTTAGAGCCTATCGGAAGAGGATTTGAGTAAGAGCTGCTGCAAAAGCGAGTTCGATCCAGTGGTCCCGGGAGAGGCTTACATGCATTGAATAGTTGTTGCCTGCGCCACCGAAAAAGGTCAGGCCTCCAAGGAGCGTGACCGGATGCTTCGGGTCAGGAATGGGAATGTCTAGGTGACTGGAGGCGATCTTCGGCACGATAGGAAAACATCTGAAGTTTGTGTTAGTGGATTCTTTCCACGCCTCGGTTCCGTGCAGTTTACAGACGAGTAGAAGTCGTAAAGATCGACATCTTCCTTATTCACGGTGGAGGCGGCAATGGCGGCGTCTAACGACACGGAGATCGAGGGGCTTGAGTAGAAGTTGGGGCGTTCCCAGACTACCATGGCAATGTTATTCAACGCCTGAACCAACAAAACCATCACGTTTTGGGAACTTACAGTTCAAGCTGTCCCTGGTGCCGGCGCCACCCAAAGCATAGATCCATTTCTCCTCGGGAATTCCTAGTTCTCTTGCGTAATCGGTCGAAGTTAACAGAATGGCGGCTCCGATATTAACTGCGTTCATCGCGTTCATCAAGAGAGGGTCTGCACTGATCAGCATTCGGGCCTTGGATTTGTGTAGGGTCTTGATGGACGAGGGGTTCCCATCGTACAAGGAAAACATATCATCCGATTCTTGCTGGTCACTGTTTTGATCGACTCGGCGGTTTCGGAGTTTCCGTAGAACCAAGCATTTGGATTCTTTCGGGCGACGGCGGCAAATTCTCCGTATAGATTGGCTGACTCTTGGAAGTTGTCCAAGATGGTCTGGCCGCGATGCGCTCTGAACCCATTCTCGAAGAGCGGATACCCTTGGATGGGTGCTCCAATTTGATGGCGCCCGGCAACATCTGGAGCATTGTTAATAACCATGTCAGAATGCAAGCCGGCTGTCAACCAACTTTTCTGCAGCTCTCGTGTGGTCGGGTCTTCGACAGCACGAATGGTCTTCTCAATGGTGGTCCAGCCCGGGGGTGGCATGATTTTGGCGGCCAAACACGCCCTCACTGCTCACAGTCACCCTGAATGAGCGCCGAGACATCGGGATGGCCTACTCACGAGACGCGAGAGCTTCACCGCCCGTCAGAATGGCGACTTTTGCATCTCCGAGAGATATCCTGCGAGAGGCTTCATCGAAGAACATGCCTGGCGTACTGCCTGAGTTGAAAGGGTGGTAGTGCTTATGCTTTGGCGCGATGCCTAGATGATGACAGAGAAGGTCTGGGAGGTCGGGATAGGGCCACGTCCAGCTGCGGACGACATCGATACTCTCGACACTCTCTCGGAGCTGTGTTGCTGCAGAGGGTGAGAGGTTTGTATCTTGAAATGCCGTCTCGATGGCCTGAATCATCAATTTCAGAGGCTCCACCGCTTCTTCTGGCTTTCTGGATCGATTCAAGGCATCGCCGACGCCTACCACGATGGGGACCAATCTCGCATCCATTTTTAATGTTGATAGGGAGGGGGAGAGAGAGACAGATGGGCTGTAGTTGAATTACCCCGCCTTGTCCATCTCAAGTTGGAGTTGTTGATTGGGTTTCCCCGAGGGAAGTTCAGCCGAATGTGAACCGAGTAGACCAGCTGCTCTCGGTGGATGTCCGGAGATGGAACAAAATGTGAGCGTCTGTCTGGTTGGCCAAATGTTTGTGATCTGGCCTGGAATTTCGAGGTTTTCTTTTTCGTTGGTTAAATTCTCCAGGTCCTCGTCGCTGCTCTGGTGCTCGATCTCCTGGAAATGAGTGATGCAGCCATGCAGCCATGCAGCCATGACCACGGCTTTCTTCGAGACACTTTCCCTAGTCCTCGACCTTTAAATGGAGAGCGAAATGGTCTTTTGATGGAGGTCTCATACGGAGCAACTGTCTTCGATTTGGGTGTGTGCCCGGCGGAAACATAGGTGGTCATTTTGGGGTGCGGTGCCTGGATAGATGCGTCCTGTTTCAGGATGTCAATCCCCAACGTTGCTTGGAGTGCTCATTTCGGCGGAGGCGAGAGGGAACGCGTCAGGGCGCGGACTGGACAAGCGAGTATGTACATAGACGATGGTACCAGACAACCAAAGTCGATACTGCTGTTGAAATATCATCGGTGTTTCCTCCCCGCAAGCTCTGTCTACCTGTCGTTCTTCATATTCTCTCGAAATCCGATTGTCTCCTTTCCAATACCACTCTGATCTTGAAACAACCAGATTAGTTTTCGCGCGTGCTGTAAGGCACTAGACAACATGTACACTGCTTCCGAAGATTCTCGGTCAGAGATCTTGTTTGCGCCGCACGCCATTTAGCGAAAGGGGACAAATAGGGTTGCAGAGGCTCGGAATGATCGTGGGAACGCCGTTACCGCTCCCGAGCGTACTTTGCATCGTCATTTGAGTAGAGTGGACGGAGAATAGAGCCAAGGGGGCTGCAAAATCTCGATGGTTCAGGTCATCAGCCTCGTGATGCCGACTTTGCGTTCAACGAGACGTGTAGTGCAGGTGTTATGGCATTGTACGATTAATGTAGGATTTGCACATTCCTTTGGGACAATCGCTGAAGACCTCCCGGCGCCATTGATTTGTTCGCGCTCCTCGACCGCAATGGTTTCAACATTGTCGCCTTTCTTAGGAACCTGATCAGTCACAGATGCACAGATCACGGTGAGCTCTCTGTCAGCGGTGTTTCAGCCATGCTCGTCGCGCCGCAGAGTCGGAAGCAGGTGGGTATTCGGTGGTGCTGGACTGTCAGCCAACCCTCAAGTTGAACTGTGCGAGCTCTTCATCTCACTCCTCGAACACACACGAGCAGATTCCAATTTGTCCGCTTTGTCCGGGAGTCAGTAGGTAGTGTCCTTGTCCGCCCCGCATAGACCACCAGGAAGTGCACACAGTTGAGTCCTATCACGTAGCATCTGTAGCGAGCGTCACGAGAGACTCAATACGACATCAGAAAACCATCGTGTTAACAAAGACTATTCCGCCGGGGACCATATGGCACAAAACACTAGCCACTTCGACCGGACTAGGTGTCAAGCCGGTTGCTGGCTGCTGTGGCGGTGCGGTAACCTGGGATGTGCTGGAGTCATCCTGCTCTAGCAAGGTCCTCCTTTCTTCTTGTGAAGATAGGCACCATGACAGACCCTCAAATGAGTCCTCGAGCGATGCATCTGGCAGATACCAGCACAAGGGCCGGACGAGTCGTATTCCCTCAGCAGATGTAACGAATCTGTCCAAAAGTTCCAGTTCCGGGCGTTGTTTTTGGCCGGCAAGGAGTATGTTGTTTGAGTGATAAAAGCGGCTCCAATATGTTCTCGCGAGAGCAGGAGAGTCCAGATCGGTACCGAGTTCATCTTGTGGGTCGCCAGAACGTGTACCTCTGGAGCACCTGAGCGTGTCCATCTTGTCGACCATCCTGTTCCGTCCGGGACGCCATCACGTTCACAAGTCCTCGAGCTCCAATGTCATCAATAGCTCAGACAGGCTGGCTGATCACAATTGACATGTTGTTGCGACATGTCAATGGCGCGAGGACGACGAGTCCCGATAATGCAGGAAAGTCGTAACTTCTCTTCCAGTACTCTGAACATAGCAGCCACTGAAGTGAAGCTCCCCGACTGTTCTACCACGAAAAGCTCTTGCGAGTCCTTCCAATTCGATGACGAGGCTCCGAGTAGTACTGAGTGCAGTGCACATTCTGGTCAACTGCACATATGGCAGCAGCATCGGAGCGCTTCTCTGGGGAGAACGCCAAAGTGTTCGACAGTTCGTCGCTGACAGGAGAGGACAACATCTCCCTAAGCAGGATCTTGGATCGTCAATGGCTCCCACTTGTCTCAATCCATGTCCAGTTTCTTGTAACGGCACAGTGACATGCTCTCAGTCCTGCAAATTTTTGTCTGCTCGTGTCCACATCGGGGGCTGGGTCAAGTGGCAATACATCTGCAAAGTCGCACTTGACTGGACACGGTTAACAGTCCACAGTCACCGGAGGACAAGCCTCGGGACCAGCCTGGTAATCACACGCTTTCTATTCCCATCTGCGGAATTGCTCACTAGCCACGGAATCTGTCGAGGTACCGCTAACCTTGTTCGACACATCCATCACCAGCCAAAACGGGCGAGAGGAGCAGGACAGTTTCTTCAATGTAGCCGCCAACTGTCACCTTCTCCTTCGGATGTCGGTGGCCGGCAGTTTCAGCAGGGCTTCTTGCTTCGGCATCGTCGGGCCTCTGAGGGACAGTAGTCTCTATAAAGGCGAATGTCGGATCAATGCTGGATCCGAAGTCGACGCAGGTTCTGGTAAGACCATTGAATCGTACGCTTGAGAGCATTGGCCTCCAACGGAACATCACTGCGAGGCAGAACAGTGGGAAAGAACGCATGAAGCAATCTTCCAACAGAGCGCAGACAGTCGAAGGTGTCAGACTGACGTGGGTGGACGCTCCGAGCGATGGGTATAGATCCTGTTCGAGCCACAGAAGTATTCAAGATGGAGAGAGCTCCTCCTCATGAGCATTGATGGAGTGCGAAACCAGTTTCGACTCGTTTGTGCATGTGCCGGCCGGCCAACGACCAGGGCATGGTACCGGGTCCTTCCCTACTGCGGAGGTGGCTCTTTGATGTAAGTTGCATTTTTGTAAAACGAAGATCCGTTCGAGTTCGCTCGAGATCTTTTCAAGCAAAAGGAATCCTGTGCAACGCCCGAGGAGCAAATTGTGACGATGTGCGCATGACGAACATGAGGCGCAACGGATGACGGGAAGTTCTGAGGCATCAATACCTGAAGTCTTGTCAGTCAACACGAACGACGAAAAGCGAGGGCTGCTTACCCATTCGGTCTCGATTTCATCCATAGACTCGCCAAGGCAAACGGCTTTGAGGCTGGAGAATTGCGGCTTCTGTCACTAGGGGAAGGTCAAACAAATGGATGAGCAGGATACATGCCCGGAGTCTGCTTCCACATCTGTTAGGGGCACTAGGGATTTCCAGACCCCAATCTTGACGCTGACACGATCGGCGAAAAATCGTGGGCTGCAAGAGAGTATGGACAAGAAATCGACCGCAGAGCTAGAAGTTTAAGAGCCAATCACTCTGGGAATATCGAGATCGGAGAGATATCATGTGTCAATGTCCTGCGATCCTTGATTGGGCAGCTATCGACTATCTGTAGTCAACATGGCCGGCAGCACCGAACAGACACTTCCACAACCCACCGTCTCACCAGCCGAGTTCTGCGTGTATCGAGGATGAAGGTATTTGGACTTATGAAGGAGACCTCTCTCTTGACGACTGCGAGACAATGCACCGATTGCCTTGTCCAGGAAATATTGCCTTCTGGTGAGTATCGTGCAAGGACTTGTTACCCGTCACAGCACAATCTACCATCCTTACCGAGGCCGTTATCACAATCGCACCGCCAAAGTCAGTCTGCTCGTGGCGGATCCGCGGAGATTCCATGTGAGCAGCTTCTTCAGGGGATTGATCGTGGCGACGTGAAGGAGGATGACACAGTGCCTCAGGCACTTGTTCCTGACACTTGTGCTGGTGCACTTTGTTCTTGTTCACTGCGTCTGCTCTTGCACAACCCAACGGCTGGTCCATTTTCTCACTTCTTACAAAGGGAAGCGGATCGATCGGCTCGGAGGGACGGCCGGCGTGCAATCAAGCAGAGATGGGCGACGAGCCGTTGTCAGAGAAGGGCTTTGCGGACATTGAGCATCCTGAAGACAGCCACAAGGAAAACCAACCACAATGCCTGCATAAAGGACACATCATGAACATGATCAGCCGGCGTATGGTGAGGAGGAAAGCAAACAGAGCAAAAGCAGTCCGCAGTTACAAAGCACGATTATGCGATCGCTGCTTTAGACGGTCAGTTCTCGGGGTTTCTGAATAGCATAGGGCGGCGAGGGATATTGCCTTGATATTGACTAGGGTCGTAACATACCGCAGCTTTCACCTTGATGCTTTGAGCAGATCTTTGCTTGGTGGCACTTGCATACTTACATGATCACTATTCACATGCCCCTAGGGCCTGTCAAATGCACATGCTCCAGGGATGCTCGTCGTCAAACACCATGAGATACCGTTGTCACTGGACCACGATCTGCTCGACAAGCACCGCCTCAGTTGATCTCAACCTCAATAACAAAGACGTAGCCATGTGACGGAATGTACAACTGACTTCATGAGAACGAGCGACATTGACCAGAGAGCTTGCCAGCTCAACTTCTCGGGATCTTGCTGGCGGAGTGTCCGCCTCCTCCTCAGCCTGCCAACAACCCTTTATTCTCTATCATGGCGAGCTCCTCCCTCGTTATCCCATTCCTGATCTTGCTAGTTTAGCAACTGCAGGCCTTTTGGTATAAGAGAAAGGACGCAGCATGACTGGGACATAAACCGCTCCTTTCCTGACATGGCGGGTTTCCCGACTCCTCGAAAATACCCAAATGGTCTTGTTATTGCGGGGAGTACACACAAGCCTTGGAAGGGAAAAGCACTGGAAGCAGACTTCGAACTGCTATCAAGCTCTTTAGGTTACCTCATGGCTAGCCTCCTTCATCAACGACATGACACTCAACGCCCTCAGCAGAGCAGGAGGCCAGCAAATGGGAAATCTTTTGTTTCGGGAACAGGATATCGACCGGAACTTGACGGATTGCAAGCACCCTTGGTATGACAATGTGAAGGAGGAAACTTGTGATGGTGAGGATTCAGGGAGACGAGGCAGAGTCCAGAAGACCGTGCGTCGGTGTAAGAGTCTTTCCTGCCGAGGATTCCGTGTGTCATGGACAATCCTGTCTAGTCGAAAAGGGTCCCTCGACCACAGGAAAAAGGAAACGCAAGTCGAAGCCATCTGCTGCCAAGATATAGGACGAGAAACGAACCCTTGGCGCCCCCGAGCCTGCAGCTCTCGGGGGCGCCAAAGGAGGTCAAACGGCTGGATAGCTCGGAGGGCGGGCTGATTCGTTCCGGACCGGCCCCTCATGTGTGGATCTGCTGCTCAGCTTTGGAATATGTGTTCGAACTCGGCGGACCTGCTATGCTGCATCGCAATCTCGCAACAAGACGCTTCGGATTATTCATGGTGAAAACTCAAAATGGCGAATCTGTTAATAACCGCCTTCTTTCTTGTCTTAGTTAGCAATCGAGTGTGCACCAGAACATGAATGGACTCCTTTTAGGCAGAAGAGCGTCCGAGTCAAGGGTGATGTATCAAGAAGTCGCGTTCGACCTTGTCGCCCCTGTGTAGGAGTCAGGATCACCGCCCGGGCTATCCTCTGGGCGTAATCATGAATGGCAACACCCGAAGGTGCATAGCAGAAGAATAAAGTACCTGCCTGGTCCCATAGAGTTTTGCACGGAAGGAATTGCAAGACCGCGTCCAACCGACGAGGTATTGACTGCGAACGACGTATCGAAAGCTTTCAAAGGCTGCCAATCATGTCGTTTAGTTGCCCCTTCTCAATGAGAAAATGTCGATCGCACAAACTCCCTATTGGAACCGTAGAGTCATTTCAGCTTGGGAAATCAACTACGGAACGTGTCGTTTGCACTGAAGGAGCGGAAGCTTGCGGCAGATTGTGGTTGACGTCAAGCGAAGACGTTCAGACCGGAGCCAATCACATTCGTCTTGTCCAGAATCCCGCCCCACCCGATAGTCCCCTGAACTCTCTTTCTACAACAAACTGGTCGATACTGAGCTTGTTCATACAACGATGTGTTGGGTTCTGTATTTAGGATGCCTATTCCCCATCAGTCTCATACAGCATCAAAGCCCAGTACCTCCGGGGGCCCCTTTGGAGTGACTTGTCAGCCAGCAAATTTTGATCAAAAACTTCCACCATCACCGCCAAGCCCCTGCTCTTTGACTCCGACACCACATCGAGGCGGACACTTGACGTTCCTTTGACATGAAGTCTAACCTAACAAAAGTGATGCTCAGAGGATAGACTTATCTGTCGTTCTGGCGGCATCTTTTCTCCAAGCACGAAGAACGAGTCCAAGGCGACTTATCGGATCCGTGATGCCGAATCCAGGCCTGTGCAGCCAGGAAGTCGCAAACGAGCCGGTCGTGGCATTATCTGCGCATCCGCAGCGATGGAAGGAATCGTTCTGTACTAGCACGCCGCTAGGGATGGGGGGGACCCCGAGTTATACCGATGAGGAGCGAAAGTCAGGCATCGGGAGTTTGCGAAATGAATCTCACCATATACCTTTCACAGAATGACATTCACGCACTGACAGACTATCAGGACGTCGGGATACAGCTTGGAAGTATCATAGATACCACAGAGAAAAGAGTTGGGGCTGATGATCGCGGCATAGTGTAGCTCATGACGAAGCAATTGAAAGTGATAGCTGTTGGGGCCCCGCCATAACACAATGATCCCAGTGATGGGAAATTGGTTCTAACTGCCTTTGTCCTTAACCTCGTGATCTTGGAGCGAGCTTCGAACAAACACGTAAAGCTTGTCATCAAATATCAATGTCGTAAATAGCGCCCCGTTCAACCGCCATGTTGTCAGACACGTTTGTCGCACGGAAATCTCGCCAGGGACACCCTGCTGTTGTCAGGGTATATGAGAATGGCGCACAGGCATGTCGCGCTGGCCACATACCACTAGAGAATCGTATCAGTCTCGATGCGTGCCTTGTTGGAACACCATGGTCGCTCCAGGCTCCCAAGGCGCGGGACGAAAATGTACCTATGAGAGGAAACATGCAGGACGTTTTCGATTGCAGGTCGTGGAAGTGAATATGCCGATAGATGAGATTACAGGCGCAAATTCGTCAGCAGGTCAATAAAATAGGCCAAGTACAGACCCTCCGCGGACTGGGCACAAGGCCTGGAACCCAAAAGATTGTTCATCTGGGGGATGGAGCTCGAAGGGATATGTTCGGGACTCATTAGTAGCGACCTGCCGTAGAGACCATCGTTCCTTCAGCCGAGGGTGGGACCTTATATGAATGACTGGATCACTGAGTAGGAACAGAGAGTCCTTGATTCGGCGGACACCGTCGGTTTGCAGTTTCTCTTTCTCGTTGAAAAGGAACACAGAAACATGAGCATATAAATGGAGAAGGCCAAGCTATCTGCCTGATCAAGGGCTTGAACGGGCCTCGAGTGTTCTCCGCTTTGATATGAAAGCAAATTCTGACAGTTTGACAAGGCTGCACAGATGACGGGGATCGCAAACAAGGCCGCGACTTCGGCCTCGGCCTCTTCTTTCATGCCATATCTCTGTGGGCCCGGGGATGGCTGGTAGGGTACAAGTGCTGCCTCCAATCGTTGAAAGTCATGAAAAAAGCCATGGTCGGCTTGACCTCAAGGGCATTATTCCAATGAGAACGTCCACGCTTTGCCATGTATTGAAGAAACCAATGTGGACTGAATGAGAGCGACGAACTTGGGAAAGGACTCGAGATAAAAACATCTTTCATCGATAACCTGAGGTAGATGCTTCTTGAGACCGTCGACCATTGGCAAAGGAAGGGGAATGTTCGAGGACCGACAGACAGGCTTGGTTGTGAAGAGCTCTGTCCATGGTATTCGAGAGGCTTTCAGTTGGTTAAGATGCCTGGGAGCAACCCCGCATTATAAAATATCGTCAAACCTGGACATACTTTCCAAGTGTTCCTGAAACATATTGGCGCGGCATTGATGAGTGTAGGTCTTTGATTCCGCAGGGTATCAAATCAGAAAGGAGCATGAGAGAAGTCCCATCTCCTGCACAATGACTTCGCGCTCATCAGCAAGAGAACCCGATGCTGTGTTTGCCTGACATGTATAGCCGGTAAGCTCAGGAAAGCTGCAGAAAAGACATGTGGTTCGCCACAGACACACTGTTTTTGGGACCATTGTTCGCTGACAGCGTACCTGTCTTCCGCAAAATGAAAAGCGCGGATGCATTAATAGAAGGGTTCCGATAATGTGAGGTTCTGAGCTTCGTGGTCAAGAGGTAGACTGGACTTCGGAATAGATGTTGTAGAACCTATCTCGAAGAGCTGGGCATCATTTCCCTCGTCCGTACAATCTGCACCTGCACATGCATACTTCGTGCCAGGCTTAGGGCTGCTGCACCATTTCTTGGGACGCCAATGTTGTCGTGGAAGATACCCGTCTATTCGCTGACTGCCGTGATCAACGGTCGAAGATTACACAATGGTGAAGGCCATACTCTCTGCCATCGCTGATAACACTATCTAGAGGGTATATGTCGTCAATCCGCTGTAAGTGAGAGAGGTGTCCTCGTTCAGATTGTGTTCCTCTTCGTGTCAAGCACATTCCAACTTCCCACCCAAAGGTATGCCCGGAGCCTGACAATACGGAGATGCTGCAGACCCAAAAGTGGCTATTGATAACGATACTACCAAGGGATAGCGAGGCGTAGTATTGAATGGACAGCATACGCCACTGGTATCTTATGGTACTGTGCCCGGATGTCGACGGACCAGCCTGGAGTAGCGAAGTCCGCATTTCGGTCTGGCGGGAGAAGGCGCCCGAGGCCGGGACAAAAGCCAGCATAATGCATTGTAGGGTCCCTGGTCATCAACGTGGTCGGCATTCTGGAGGAGGAAAGACCACAGCGAGAAAGACAACACGTCAAAAGTGAGGGTTGATATGACTAAGTTGTGGTGCAGCAATCGACCCTGTGGCCGTGCTTCAGTGGCTGCTGTGAGCTCGATTGGGTGGTAAGGATGTCTGTACAGACTGTTCCAGCTCTTTGATGACAGCACGATCCGACCGACCTTTGTTTTTTTCTCCCACCAGCTCCTCCGACTCGAGCGCAGCAGACAGCTCATGGCAGGTCGCGTACTCCTTGTTCCAACACTTCTCGATGATATGTCCTAGCCAGAGACCCTGGGTGCTCGGAAGGTCGTCTCTTAGTGGGAACTCGGCGATCGAGGCCCCATGAAGCTGGTGTTTATAAAGATCAAAGCTGCATTTGTCTCCTGTAATGGTCTCGTACAAGACAGCGCCGAGCTGACCAATCTCTGTGTGTATGGTGTAACCGCTATCGTCACAAGTCTGGACATTGCAGTCGATATCGAGAATGGATGACTCGGAAAAGTCGGATAACTTGATAGACAGGTCTTTGTCAACAAGGAAGTTTCGAGCGCTGATATCAGCCACAAGGACGCGGCGCTCGTGGACCGCAGCCAGAGCGCGAGCCATCTGGCGAAACCAGGAAAGTTGTAGCGTGGGAGGCGGGAAGTCAAGGGTTCGATTTCGCGCGAGAAATTGGCGAAGATCAGCGTTTGCCATATAAGTCATTCGAATGCCCGGGGCTTGAAGATCGAAGCAATCAATCACTCCATCACAATTGCCGAGACGCTCGAAGACATTCTTCTCATGTTGGATTTTCACAGAGTAATCTTCGTTGTACGCAACTTTGACTGCAACGCCGTTGATCAAGAAGACGGCCCCAGTGCCGCCCTCTCCGACATATTGCCCGCCCAGTCTCTGCATGTCCGCTCTCGTCATCGCGTCCTGTATTGCTGAAGGTAGAGGGCGCTTCAATTCTGCCATGGCTCTGCACTGGTCACAAGGCCTAGAGCGCGAATCAAGGCGGAAGCAAGCTGATAGAGGCGAAGGCCGTCTGCTATGAGATCTCTCCTGGTGGGATTATGGCTGGACCAGCGTTTCTGAGGTACGAATGGGTGCGAAGCTCGAGCGGTTGAGGCTCGAGCGCAGGGCGCAGGCTAGTGAAGCTAGTGAGGGTCTGTGGGGGCGGTTTGAGAGGCTCCTCTGTTCTTGACCACGACTATCTTGAGGTTAACCTCGAAAATGGTACTTGTTCCAATATGGTAGAAGCGTCGATTGTCAGAGCGAGACAAGGCTTGATAAGGGTGACATGCGACTCAGGTGCGTCTTGCCCATGGCGAAGAGTTGCGCTAGCGAGCCAGTAAAAGTGGTTCAGAAACTTGTCCCTGGAGAATGACTGGAGTCATAGACGATGCGCGTGAGCAGCTTGGAAGAGGTGCGTATGCGCGAGACGACTTGGCCGAAGGATCCAGTGCGGCGGCAGCTGCAATCAGGCTCTGGGATAGTGGTCAAGCTGGAGTCTAGAAAGAATGTTTGCGTTACCTAGAAAAGGACCCTACAAGATATCAGACACCACAATGCGACAAACGTGTCAGGTTTGGCGGCGAGGCTCGCGGAGTTGGCGATTCACGTGATCATGTCAGAGCGCCGCAGTATTCTGCCTCACTCTGTGAATGGTATTTGCTTCCTCTTTTCAGCCACCCACCGACATTCAATCAACACCATCGCCCGCATCAAGAGTAAACCGAGAAACCCCCGGTGGAGACCGTGAGCTTGTTCCACGTATGCACATCTTATGGCTACACCTATTTAACGATGGGGCCCCGAGGACACTAATCGATTGGGGGCTGGCACGTGTCCACTATCTTGTCGAGCTTTGATACTAGCGTAAGAATCAACTCCAGATTCACAAGTTACCAGTGATCAAAAGGCTCTCTGGATGGCAATACGAGGCTGCAAGCAAGGATCCTGAGTCAGTGGAGGTGACGCTGGAACTGGTCATTCTTGATTAACTAGGTAGTTCCACGATATGGTGTGGTCTTTGCCCTCCCTCCCGCCCTGGAAAGGACCGAGAGAAAATGTCGGCCTTTGACAATCCCAGGCTGGGACGAGCTTTCGCGCACCGACCACCGAGTACCACCAATTTCTCCCTCGCCCTGTCGATTTTGGGCAGCACTGGCTGCTTCTATTTGCGGCTGCCCTCCCGCTGCACAGGCCTCTGCTTCAGCTCTTGCTTTTTCTCCCCATCCGCCTCACAATATTCCAGCAAGCTGATGTCGATGTCGAGTGCAGATCTTGAGATCGTGAAACTAGTCCTCCCTGTACTCTGAATCCTCCTGTTCCTGTCGCAGTTCTTCCCTCTTCTCCTCTTCCTCGAATTGTCTCAACCGCGCGCCAGAAACTTCTTCCGGGGAAGGATATCGAGGATGCTGTAGCTGTGGCAGTTCAACTTCGTCGTCGACAAAATCAACACCCTGCTCACTGCTGTTTTGATGCCTCAGTGCCCGTTCGAAATATGTACAGAGCTGTGATGGTGTGATCTGAACCTTGGTGAGGTGCCCAGGTAGATCATTGATCTGTTCAGCTATCGCCCTAGTTGGTGCGAGATACTCAAGGGAGAGACAGAGTCCTGAGAAATCGGTATTTGGGACACCATTCTTGTCGCAGAAAACCTGAATTTTGGTCAGCTTGAAACCGCGAAACACCCAGCCGACTGACCTCTTCTTTCACTATTTGCTCAACGGCTAATTTCACCTTCCCTGTTCCTGAGGGAGTGAACTTTGATCGCCACACTGATACCGTAGCCTGTTTCCCTGTTGGGTATGGAAATTTGAAGCCAATAACACAACGGATACTGCCCTTGCTACCCACGATATATTCTTCTGCAAGGATGGGAAGGTCTTCCTTTCGCTGTGAGTGCGCGACCTCGATAACGATACCCGGAAATCTGGCGGATTCGTGGTGTAGAGAACTATCAGGCCCCTTATTGCATTCAAGCTCCTTTTTAGCGTCCCCTTTTGGATCCTTCTCGGTGGCCATCTCGGCGTATCCGTGGAATGACAGCGTATTTGCGGCGGAAGCGGTACTCTCAATGTTCTTGACAAACTCGTGAATGAAGGGGTGTTGAGATGCGCGCAGCTGGTTAAGTATTTCAATCGCGATCATCTGGCTGAATACCGCATGGAGACGTGTTTCGAGGCCCATCGCAAACTCTTGTTCGAAGAAAGAGTAAAACTTCCTGAAACACTAGTTTAGCTTCAAGTCACTGAAGGGACAAACTTACAAAGGCCTCACCGTAGGGTATCAAAAGACTTGTTGTCCGAGAAGAATTCCACGAGTTGACGGTAGGTAGCAGGTGTCAGCTTGAATCGCACCCAGGAGTATGGTTCGACAAAACATGAGGCTAAGGAACCTTGGACGCGACACACTGCAGCTTCGAGTTCTTGATTGCGATCGCTGGGGGACGAGGCCGCGGTCATGTCCCGAGAGGCTTCACTGCGGAGGCGCGACTGCTCTAGGTCTACAGGCGTGCTCTGTGCGGTTAAGTGTTCCCCGGGGGGTCGCATCTCAAAGGGTTCACGCCGGTAATGGCGCGTCGACGACAGAAGCCTGGTATTATTGTCGTGCAGATAATCCATCCTCCTCCTTGTCGGTGGCATTTGCTTGAGACGATTCAAGAATGTGAGACAACGTCAAGACATGTCACAATGTGAAGACGAACAAGAGGAAATGGATTAATTAAGTCTAACGTCAGATCATACAGCCATATGCGAAATACCTCCGGTCGAGCACGAAGGACTATCAGTGCAAGTTGTTGATGTCACGTGCAGCACAGACGTCCTGCCGCTGTCTGCGCACCTCGAATCAAGTGTGCACTTCTTACACGGGAATTTGGCAAGGAGACGGACTGCATTGGCCCTGGAGTCGTCTACAAGACGTCATTTTTAGCTTGTCGCTTATCAACCGAGAATTCCTTTAGTGGCCCCCGTGGATCGGATCATCGGAAACTGAAAGTCAGCCATCGGCCCCAGAAGCCGCGCTCCCCACCAGACTACAACCAGCAAGTGTGAAGATGAGCTGCTCACTTTTAGCGGCTTTTCGACAGATGGCTCATCCGCATGGCTTGTTCTCACGGTGGACTCTTAGTTCCGACGCGCCACCCGACTTCCATGGTCCACACTACCTCAAACACGAGATGATGGCGTCGATGATCGCAACCCAGCCCCTTCGTCCAAAACAGCATGTTCAGACCAGTTTCTGCTCAAAGAAACTACGGTCCAGTCAGCTCCAAATGACCCAACCGATCTCCTCCCTCTCGCTCCTTTCCGCGAGGTGCGTCCTCAGTCCTTATCATTCTCCCAGCACTCGCAAAGAAGAAAGAGGAGGGCCGGGTCACAGTCAGCTCCATTCCGACGACACATGGTGTCTTTGCATTGGTCTCTGATACTGGAAGCGTGGTAGCTGCGCTGAAGCGGATAGCGTAAATCTTGGGTCTGAAAATTGGATTTGCGCAACGTCAGATGCTCCAGCATGATCGTGTACGTGAGATGCAAATGACGCATCTCTTACCCATGTAGCTCCAGTGTACTGATTCACAGACACAACGAGTGATGTGAACACCAGCATTTTAATATATATATATATTTCCAAGTCCACAGCCACTTCTCCCCGTTTTGTTCCCACTCAGTGTTCGCCTTCCGATGCACCGCGCTTCTGCCGAGTTTGCATGGGCCCTGTTGCATTGCGACAACGCTTGGGCTACCCAAATCGCCCATGGTTGGTGCATTAGCAGACCGATTTTCTCCTCCGACCGATGGCTATACCCTCTAGCCAATGTCGTGTAGGAATTGAACTGCTATATCTATGAGAGGCCCCGGCAAGTGGCAGAGCCGTCTGTTGTGCCCATCTACCGACGGAGGTTATGAGTACGTTGCTCTCAGGTCCGGAATATTTCTCCCACTCACAAGCTTGTTACGCACACCAAAAGAAATGCGGTGGACTGACAGCTCCAATGATGAAGGTCAAGCTGGCACTAGTGCATGAGGCGACACTCGAACGACGCGATTGGCGGAGTCAGTTGAAATAACCCACACAACCGCCGAGAAACATGGGCGGGTCTCGAGGTATGGCGGACACAAACGTTGGAGAAGCAACGTGTAAGAGCAAGCGCCACAAGACTAGCATGCATTAACAATGGCGTTCCAGACATCTGCGGATGCTTGGCCAGAAAATCCAACCAAAGCGGGAAAGGAGCCAGCCGCACATGTTGTGAAGGCGTTGTTTGAGCAAAGGAGACGACGAAAGACGCATGATTATGCCACAGCTAGGTGTGGGAGTCCATGGCAAGAAGGGACGTGTAGCTTTGCATTGGCTATTCCAAGAACAGGAAGCTCGAAATGGGAAAAGAAGCAATCATCATTCGGTCCGTGCTCGCCAGACTTCTCCTTCCTCATTCCTAACACCCAGCAACCTGTCCTCCAGGAGCAATCTGTCAACGCATCTGTATATGATCCTATACTCTTATCGCCCTCCTCCTGAGTATATCTATGCCACTGGCTGCGCAGTCGTCATTGCCGCAATCATTGCAATCGTGATCCCGTAAGCTGGGTCGATGAGAGTCGTCGGTGGAGGCTGATCTGCGCACTGCGCAGTTTGGATGTGCGGTCTCAAACCGTACGCTAGGACGATGGACACACATAAAACCTGCTCTGGCGAAGTTTAGGGACAATAGAGCAGGGCATGTTTGTAGATTGCAGCAAACATGGTGGACGGCAGTGACAAGGCGAGTAGGTTACGGTACTTCTACAATTGCCGTGGCTTGTGCGATTGGCCATAACGTCACATAGCAATAAGCATGTGCCGAAGTAATTCCCCGCACGGCTTCCCCGCATTCTTCGAGGTGCAGCAGGTGTTCGACAGCAACTGAGGACTCGCCGTCGATGGAATGGGGTCCAGGACACTTGGACCGTCCAATCAGGTATTGATCTGTCCCTACTGTCCTACTGAACACCAGCGGTATGACTGTAGACTCCCAGCTTCAGTGTACAAGCTCGGTTGTTGAGATGCGGCGGCGCAGTGCATGTCCATGTCCTAGACCTTTTGACCACCGCAAGCCCCAAAGCATCTCTGTTTCCGTCGTCATGCGCTTGCGGATATCCTAAGATAAAGAGATGTTTGTTACACCCTCCCAGCATAAGGAAGGATCGGAGCGCCTCTCAACACTGGTGAGGTTTTCCCCTTAAGGGGATATTTACTCATTTTATGCCTCAGGGTCTCGAGGCGAGCGACAGGGGAGAAATGTCGGTGGTCAATGGTAGAAACGGCCATCGGAACGCAATCAATGACACCTGTGGGTGACTTAGAAAGCTATGGTCGAGAAGCGCGCCCAAGGAGGTTCCGGATGCGTCCTCGTTGCGCAAAAAGGACTGGAGAAGAACAAAGCCCGGGACGTCAAAGTCTGGCCGCTAGGACGGTGTCCGCATCCACTACAACCTCGAAGCCTTCACGCAAGCGGAAAAGGAAAAGGAAAAGGGCAATAGCAAATGAGGAAGTCTTGGTTCATTACCTGGCTTCATCGCTCAACGTCATTTCGATTTCCTGGACGAAAGCAGAGAGAAATCCTGCCTTGTCTGTCCGTTTGCGGCCATGGTCGTGCGAGTTGGGTATTCAATCAAGAATTCCGAAACCTGTTTTCTCTTCTTCCGCTCTACCACTTCTCCATCACCTCCGTTCCACCGAAACTACATCGTGAAGCTTGTCGAAGACAGCCCAGTGGACCCCAACATCATGGATGAGGAACTGACCCATAACGAGGACTTGGAATTGACAGATGAGTTACGAGAAGAGTTTGAGATATGCGCTCGAATTAATTTTTGGGATCACAGGGGTAAGATCTCCGAGAATTCTGCGCAGTTCATTGACCCCAATGAGTCTCACTGACATCAACATTAGCCTGCGATCTCGAGAAGGCCAGGGCCGGTTGGACGCCAGCAAAGAACCACCTCTACGCCGCGTTCTACTACGGTGAGAACGAACCAGGCCGCCGGCGAGACCTCAGTCTATGGTGGGAGGGTCGGAGAGGAGTTTCTATGGTGACCCCGGCCAAGTTTTGCGAAATGATCGGCGGCCTTGATCTCTTGGACCATCCAGAGCTAAAATCCTACCAGGCCAAGATGGGTAAAAAGGATACGGTAGATGTAATCCCATTCCCGCTTTTCAAGCATGGAGGAAAGTATCTTTATTTCGAAAGGGACACAATGGTTGAGCTTCCACAATTGTACCACCGCCGATACCGGGAATGGGGTCTGCAAGACGTGTTGGAGGACCGAGAATCGTATGAAGTGAGCTGGTGCAAGTTTGAACCCCCAATTATTACCCCTCAACATCTCCGGAGTCCAGGTGATATGGAACACAGCTCGACCTTACATTACGCTTTATACATTGGCAAGGTTAGGTACAGTGCATCATACACCGCCGACAATCTACGGGAGTTGGAACCTGCCCCTTTCCAAGTCTTCCTCCATCCCGTCGACAAGAGTCTTTGGATAGTTTTCGATACTTATCCTATGCATGGTTTTGATCGGTTCCCAGAGGAAGAAGAGTGGACCGACACCGATGAAGAGGAATTCAACGTCGGTGAGGGGAATCGCGTAACGGTACGCGTATACCGCCACTCGATTTGGGACGCGCTCGAATCTGCACCTCCTGTCGTTGCTTGGCGCATACCATTTTCTGACATGGAGCGTATCGCACAGCGGCGCACATATGTTCGTGGTCTCGTTAGCACGGTCATATACGACGATAACGCACCCGTGCCGCAAGTGGTCGTGGACGGGTATGATCCTACCTGGAACAGCTCCGTTGGCCCGCGGCCACTGATATATGCGCCGGTGAAAGAGTGCTGGACGAAGTACAGGGAGGAAATTTTAAAGCCAGCGGCGGCCTTAGCTGCTCGTGGTGGATCCAACGCTACGGCCGAGTTCCAACAAGACCCTGGACCAAACGATCCGTCAGCCGACTAGATCTGGAAGATTCGTCCACACCTACTGGGGTTGGTCAAACTTCAATGGAAGCCAACAGTCTTGATGTGGGGATGGGGTCAATATCTTTGTGCAGCAAGTCTGTTTTGGTGTTTTTTTGCTGCTGGAGGGGGGAGGCCGAAGAGTCTGTCAGGTGTATTGGTCAAGTGTTACCTGGGTCTTTTGTGTTTTGCTCCTTTTGCCTTCCCACATTTCCCACGACGCGGAAAGAATATGGGGGTAAAGGTGGTGCCTCAAAGCCGGGTTGTGTTTGTCGCTATCTTAGATCTAGTCCATGATTGCATTTTACTTTCCCCCGAGAAATCAAGTTGCAAAACTCTCCCTGTAGTATGCAAACATTGAGCAAGTCACTGTAACAGGCACTCGCTGCTCGACATGATTACCGCGGAGATAGAGCACCATGCAAAGTAGTGACGTGCACGTATTGATTCACAGGCTGAGCGATCTGGAAATCCCTCTTTGTGGGGATTGAGGGCGATTTGGCGGTTCTTGAGAGTAAGAAGTACTGAGATGTCTTACTCTCTTCCGCTTCTTGTGCTCCCAGCTCAATCCTTGTCTCTATTTCATACTTCTCCAGTCGTTCCACCGGTGATCTCATCCTGCCACCGCCTCCGATACTCTGCCTTGAGATGGACCTGACGCAAACATGTTCGTTTGTCGCTCCCGAGGGGCGAACTACGCAAATAAAACGCCAAAGAGTATTAGGGGAGAGATTGAGCAAAGGTAACTGCTAAGGAAATGCATAGTTTCTATCTTGATGTATACTCTGAGCCCCTGCACTCGTGACGAGGTAGATTTTCCAAGCCTGCAACCTTGTCCACCCCTAAATATTGTCACAGTATCTAACAAAATCTCTCTGGTACATCTTTCCAGGAAGCCACCATCTCTTTCCGATCCCACAATGGACATTCACACCTCGTCAATGCTAGCCCTCTGCTGCAAGTAAATCGAATCAAGTCTTCACCGCGCGACAAGTCCACGTCCAGCTGTCTCAGGAAAAGCGTTGAGTGGCACTGTTCCCGAAAGCATGGCTTTTTGTCGAGTAAAGCGAGAAAGGGTCACCTTGATCTAGAACGTGCCTGTCAGAACCCCATCTGCCTCGTCAGCGTTGCGGACGTTTTCGGTGATCATGATCAGGCCGTTGCCGAAGGCCAACCACTCCATGCTGGTGTGAATTTGCGGCTTAGGTGGAGGCAAGTGAAACATCGACGTCAATACTTTCGCCCAGGTACATCCTTCGAGCACTTCTCTAGCGTCTCTGCCCTGCAGAGCCACGAAGGAACAAGCCATGTTCATCCGATCCAATCATGTGTCCGTCATTGTTGTTGGCGAGCTAGTTCGTCCCTCTGTGTTGTTGAGTGAAGGAGTGATTCCAGAGGTTCGTCCATGTTCGTCAGACTTTTGGCGACGACGTTCGATCTGCATATGGACGTCGTCTTCGGCGCAGTTCAAGTTGGGGCTGAAAAAAGTGTTTCGACTTGCCTGTGTCCGCTCACCCCAATTGAACAAGTGATAGCATTTGAGACACGGAGAACACGGACTGAACGTAATTTTCGAGGCATCAAGCCGAACACGATATGCTACTCCCGGCTCATTTCCGTGGTCGAATGGTGTAAATCCGCTGTTTTTGACTCGGTCATCATATCGTGCAAGTCTACCTGGGGGTTGTTGCTTTGCAGACCTCTCAGGGTTGTGAACGATATTTTTGCTGTCCTGCCAAATGGCGCCCAGTGTATTCGTTTTGTCGTCCAACTCGCTGTCTAGACCCCCAACAAGACGGTCAAGACGCATTTTGCCGAAGGCGTTGCTGACAGACTCAAACGGGGACCATCGCATCTTGCATTCCCCCCACACCATTCCTTCCTCGGCAGCACATACGAAAATGGTGGCAGGAAGGCCTGTGCCTGGGTTGAACTTGACTTTCCGCCGTTCGGGTAATTCTAGCTTCAGCTTCTCGAGCACTTCAGCTTGGAAGTCACCTAAACGAGTTGTACTAAGAGTTGAACATAGTTGCTGGCTGTGGTAGTGCAAGTCGATGAGTAGCCATAGGGCCGAGACAGTTGCGATTTCCCATTCCGTTTTCTCTAAGTTCAGATTTGGTTGGGCCCTGAGGATTGTCGTCTTCAATCCCTCCAAGTCTTTGCCGATTGTTTTCAGATGGGATTTGTCCGCTTCTGTTTTGGGGAAAGTCTTATGTTCTTCGAACTCCTTTTTCCAAAGTGATATACCGGCATAAAAAGGCCGAGATGGTTCCAGATGTGATCAACCGTCTTGGGTCTGGTCTTGAGAGACTCCTTTAACTTGTCGGCTGTACCTTTGCCGATAGCGTGCATGGTGGAGATCATGGTATCAATACTAACAAGGAAAATGGGAAGCTTTTCTTGTCCGTCTTTTGTCGCTTGTTGACCTTCTCTGAGGGGCATGTTGTTCTGTAGACTCCATAGGTCGTGGACGTTGAATATCTGAGTGGTATATTCCATTGAGGTCGATTCGAAACAACGCTTGTGTAGCAAGGGGATATTGTGGATTGGGAGATCAAACAGATACACTGCCAAAAGGAAAGAGAGCCAGCTCAATAGAGATTGTGGAACGATGAGTGTGAAGGACATGCTTCATAGTGCCATGCCTGGGTTCCTTATATGTGCCACCTATATCAACAGCAGTATACAAACCTCGTCGCTGCCCGGAGCAATGTTCTCACCGTTTGTTCAGGTCTCTTTGTGCCATCAGACCTGTCTCAAACACACAAGTGCCTTCTAACAGTCTGACACAAGACACACTTCTGGCCCACACTGGAGAGGCGTACAATGAAACACCCAATCGGGGCAGTGCTGTGGTTCCAGTCGTGGCCTGTATTTCGTCGTGTGTGAACGGCGAGTCCCAATGGCCCCGGGAGATCTGGTCTGTGGATGTGATGTGCGGCGGAGTGCAGAGCATACTCCGGGTCAAACACTTCATTTTGCCTGGCTTTGGAAGCAACGAGGGCAGTGGAAGCGGAGGAAATGTACATCTCTTTCTTACCTTGCACCTTGCATGTATTCGCGGTGCGTCCTCAGCTCCCATAGGGTGGTTGAGACAACTGTTGAGGAGGAGACCGGACGGCCCATTGCTTGCATACCTGGCTCAGAGAGGCAGCTGAAAGGTCGTTCAGTCACAAACTGGGACTCAGTTTGTTTCTTTGTTGATGTCTCTAAATGAGTAGAAATAGGCCAGGTTATCGTCCGGGCTTATCACACCCCAGAAAAGGCCCCTTTCGACTTGTCTCACGTGCATCGCTTGGTAGCGGCGCCCGAATCAAAACCAAAAAGAAACAAAAGATTAGACGGAGAAACCATGGAAAACCAAAAAAAAAGCTCACTCTTTGTGCGGCGATCTCCTGTTATGCCCAGGCCTTCACAGTACGCACATGGTGTCTTGCGCTTTTTATTTCGCCCCTGCAAATCCATTGTCTTTGTGTCTTCAAATGGGTCTTTGTTGACTCATTCACCCCTTTTCAGGGCTTGGACTCTTTATTTTATTACTTTGCCCTATCGAATACGTCTCACCCTTGGTGAAATTGGAGTGGAAGAGGGGTAGGGCGTGTCTTACCGTCTGGGAATGCAAACAGATGGTGATAGACGGTGCGTGTGCGGGAATAGTCAGCCCTCCGGAATTAATGGCTCTGTCTCTGTTTTTCGGTCTTTTGGGAGATTGAGTGCTGAGAGCGAAGCAAAGGCGAAGATGGAACAATGAAACGGACCCACAATGGGCTATATCTGTGTAACAAGAAGAGAGAGGGGGGGAGAGGTGCGCTTGGAGCCGTGGAAGTGGGTGGGCAGTCCATGCCAACGGGGAAGGTAGCGCCGAGTGGGTCATGTGACCACAACTTCGAGAGAGCGAAAACAGGGAGAAAGGTGACGAGATAAGTGTGTGTCGGAGTGACAGAATAACTTGATTTTAGGTGTCGCCGAGAACGGTGGACGAAGAGCAAAGCTGTGAGGCTATATGGTGGAAAGGGACGGGGAAGGGTGGACACAAGCCCCATCTCCCTTTTTTTTAAGTCCTCCAGTGGCGACAGATCATAGGCCCGATTAGCTGTGGCCGCTATAGATCCAACTAGCTAAGTCCACGCTATACTTGCGATTGGCGGTCACCTCCAATACGCCCGATTGGCTGCTAGAGAACAGTGTTCCTGCATCCCCTGCCGACCTCCTTGCCTTCCCCAGATATATTGCAACCAATCAAAGCCTAACAAGGCTATTTACAGACAGTCAAGAACTACGAGTTGGACGCAGATGAAAAGACCGCCTCCACCGCCACCACCACCATCACTTTTTCGTCACTTACCCTTTCCATCTTCTCTCCCTCTTCAAGTCTTCTACGGTGGAACCAGATTCAGAGCTTGTTGCGGTCAGACACAGAGAGAGTGAGCGTGCCAGTGGATTGTAGGCAAAAAGGTGGGTGGTCGAGGGGAAAGGAAGCCCAGTTTAAGCCACGGCAGCCAATCACCGATTGGGCCAAAGCTGCCGCCGCTTTGCACTTACCTACTTCAAGGGTATCTACCGAGTATGGCGTGCATAACCTACAGGGTCATTGTCTGGTGCAAACAAAAGCGGCGGCGCTAAATCTCCACATTGAGACTGGTGGGCTTAGACTGCCTTCGTCCTCAACAACTTGAACCGCCGCATATGAGGACCGTGATGCATTGACAAAACCCTGGTTGCTTTCGCAAACTCCCACTATCACTGATAGTCACGCCTGTTCTGTCTCATTTTCCACCCAACAGCTCAATAACTTGACGGATCCAGAAACGGCTTTCCTCGTTCTTTGAGATCCTGTCGAGTGAAATCTTCGCGACAACCAGTCACGTCTGCCACATTCCAAATAAACACTCGTCTCGGTGAGCGCCCTAGCGGGTCCAGATGACAGATCTGCGCAAGCTGCTCCTCGTCTGATGCCTCAAATAGGCACAACGTCTCTACCGGCGGACAATGGTTGTAAAATCCCCAACGCCCGGCCCTGTCTCTCTCATCTACGGTCACCAGATCCCTGGAGCTATGATAGACACGCTACCACCTTCCCTATACTTCGTCTCGGCCACTCTCCGCCACAATTTGATGTGGAATACCACGGCATCGTTGAGACCACACCTCGATCATCAGCTACTCTCCAACACAAACCTCACGGGATTGGCCCCCAGACAACCGAGACGGAGTGAGAAAACGAAGACAGGCGGAAACTCTGAAAAATAACCCTGAATTGCGCCAAGCTGAAATCCTGCCTGACAAGAAGTCAAAAATTCGTTCGCAAGTGTGTGGAGGATCGCGATATCGGCACCGGCCCGAGAGCGTTCGAGTCAAGGGAAAGCAAGATGGGAGAGGAAGATATGGAACAGAAGAGCGGACACCGAAACATTATGCGACGAGGAAGCCGGGTGTGACGTGTGAGGATCACAGGTCTCGAGTTCGACGAGAGCCCCTTCAGAATCCGGGGCCTTCCGATCTGTCTTCGGCGAAATTGGTTTCTGGAGACTATTTGAGAGCGCTGCAAAGCCTGGCATCCAGGTTCATGTGACCTCGTGCAGTGACGAAGCCTTCCACATAGCACGGGTGAATACGACCTTCTCTGGCAGCCAATCTTCCTTTTATCCATCGTCAAGGCCTTATCACTACGTAGCCCGGTGTGGTCAGACTCTTTATCCCAGGATACAAGACTTCGAGAGACCCTCATCCTGTGGAAGGAAGTTTTGAGTTGACCACGCCAGTACCCCTTACATCCCTTGGACGAATCTTGTACATCGTGGCGCGGAGAGAGCGAGGGGTCCCTATCTTGGGCCTAAAATATGACGTCGATGCATACAGCTGCGTTCAAGTTTTGCTTCTTTTGAGCCTCACCGCCTTTCTGGCTCAGCGTGCGACCCGATCGACAAAGTCACTATATCATTCGTTCGACCTATCTTCTCTACCTCTCGCTGTGTTGTCAGGCGACCTACTGTCCATCCGCGGCCGAGTGCGATCGACTACTCCAGGATTATCTTCACACAAACTCATCCTTCCTCGACCGCGGTCACAAACTTGAGTCTATTGAACGAACTTCGTCGATCTTCGTGGGTATCTCTAAGGAGCTAGAGTCTATTTGACCATGCCACCAGACTCCCAGGTTGAAGATGGAGGAAGTTTGCGAACATTACCCGCTGAAACCGACTCCGTCAAAGACACCTTGGGGATCCACGTGGAATGGGGGCGAACCGACGCTAGTTCCTGGCGAGCACAACGATTGCCTCACGGACGAGATGCGGGAAGCCAGACCGAATCCCTTCCAAAAGCTAACGCCAAATCTCTCATGCCCCTTCAGCTTACAGGAGAACCGGTCATATGCCTATCTGCCTTCCAAGCACCTCATGCGGGATAGTTCATCTTTGTGCTGGTACCTTGGGATCGCCAAGCCCGAGCCATGCCAAACAGTCAATTTCTGTCTATTTCCCCTGACCGGGCACTTCGACGATTGCGCACTGGAATACCCAACCCATCCCGGCTGAAGATCTCTGTCCATGTATGCATGATACTGAACAACGCCGAACGAAGTGCATCAGTTGTGGAGCAAAAGAAGGGCGTGGTCAATACTGAGCCGATCACTTGACATGGCGCCGTCGACCTGTGAACGGAGGGGGCTGCCGTCTGAACATCGAACGAGTGAGTCATTGACCGTCCTGCGATCAGGTTGAAAGAGCACCCATCACTAGCGCATGCTTCCTGTTCCCATGTTGCACAGTACTGGGCGGCGCTCAGTAAGGATAAAGCAAAGTGGCGAGAATGTTTGGGTGCTGCATTGGAATTCTCCGCCAATATACGCCAAGACACGGATAAACTACGGCCCGCCATCTACGGTCGCCAGACTTTCCCCATTCATCATCAGAGAGGAGAAGTACCAAGATGCCAAAACACACCATATACGTGTAAGTCTTACCCAGCCATCGCCACAACAGCCCTTCGGGGAGGAAGTCCCAAGCTTGTAGTGACTCTAGCGCGCATTAACTTCCCCTCTGTCATTCACTACAGCTATCGACACGTGTACGAACCTCTGCAGAAACAAAAAAGTCTTACTGGCAGGTGACCCTCGTCCGGCTGACGTGCGACTACGCCCATTTTGAAGCGGCCAAAGATAATACCGTGAGGCTGTTCTTTCGACACATACACAGATTTCGACCAGAGAAGCGCCAGAGAGCGATTCAACCACCCACGTCGGCCGAGAAACCTCGACCAAAGAGACTTTACAGAGACGCTCCATCCGGAACTTCTTCCTTCCCTGCACGACAAAAGTTGGAAGGGTCGCGATCTTTGATGAGGTCATGTACTACCCGCTATCAACGACACATTTACTCTGTTGCAGCTGTGTGTGTATATACTACCTCCGACTCGTTTGATGACTGGCTCAAGTGGCACTACGAAGTTGGTACACCATCTACCCCTCATCTAGTAAGAATTTGTGACGTCTAGGATCCTTGGGTCGGCATCGAGTGGCTAATCAGGCGCTGACTGAGGTCCTCTGCGGGATGCATCCAAAAAAGGTGGGTTTGGGATTCTAAATATGTTTCGATGACGGGGTAGCGAACCTCACTGAAGCCACTGACATTGATCACTCACGCAACGCGTATCACGTTGGCCCTTGATTGCTCCCGATTTGTGCGGTATCTAAGATCTACTTTGAAAGAGGCCCGCGGGAAATGGTCCGCATACGTTCCTCGGTACTAATCGCATCGACTCTACCGGAACATATATCGCCGCCATCGAATCTTGTGCGTCCAGCGTTCTCGTTCTCGCTCTCGCCGCCGATTCGCGAATGCTTCGATCCTCCGTCTGCCCGAGTACTTCGCCATCGACTGCGTAATAGCGCATCTACTTCATTTGGGCGCAGCTGCATTGACAATTACTCTGGAAGCGTCTTTGTCCAAAGAGGACAAGTCAGCCGCCCCGGGCTTGAGGTGGGGGATTGGACGAGCCCGCGCTTCTTGACTATTGCAACGCCGCGTGAAACCTGGGGGAGGGCAAGGGGGCGACATTCGGAATGGATCGACAGATAGATGGGTCGAGGTGCCTAACAGACAGGCAGACAGACAGACAGACCCGGTGGGGTCTGCGATCACCGCACTGCAAATGCCCTTAGCACGGAGCTCATCGCAGCAAATGGTTAGAGGAGTTAGCCCTTGTCCATTGTTGACGGCGGAGTCATGCGCGCCACTGAGATAGCCAATGCCCACCCCACCCCCCCCAAACATCTATCGACCCTTGACTATTTTCCCCTTGTGATACTCGAGAGGGGGGATGGAATGGACATGTGAAGAAAGGTCTCGGACACGGAGAACCAGGTACCAAGGAGAGAGGTAGGTGAGTGGGGAGAATGGATCAGGGGTGCAATGTCAGGGCAGGGGGACGGGACTTGATGGCAGGACCAGTCCGTTCGATCGAGATATACCTACAGTCCTACATGCCTACCCAGGTACAGGAGCAAAGTAGCTGGCCGGCAAATCACCTGAGGCTGCGCGGGGCGCGTGCGATAATACTCTGTAAATCTGCAATGATGATTGGCGGGTGGATTTCGGCCGCAGAAAAATCATCTCGACACTGCGACTATTATGTTTTCCCCCCTCGAAACGGAGGACTGATCTTGACAGTCCACACTGCTCGGGCACTCGGGATGGCAAACTACTTATGTACCTCGTAACTGTGTAGGTAAACCAGGTTCCTAAGGGTACACTGACTTTAGCCTGGCACATTGTCATACAGCCAGACTGCCAGCGAGACTGCCAACGAGCAAAATCCCGACCGAGCGCTTTTGCTTTGTCTGACAGTTTCTCAGCCCCAAGTCCAGCAGCACCTAACAAACTCCGTTCTCAGCGAACCCCTGTCTGCCTATCTGTCTGTCTGTTCGTCTGGATGTGTCTGTTCGGTCATTTCGTTTCTTTGTTCGCCATATCCCCCCCGTCTCAGAGTGACAAAATATCCACCCCAAATCCAACGAGACACACAACACCGACGCATGTCTTTTTTAGTTAGGGTCCCGGGGTGCCCCAAAACCTCCCCCCCAACAAAGCTCTTGGCGTCTTGCACGTCACCCACCACCACCAACGTCCAACCTGATGCATGCTCAATAAAACCACTGAAACCCTGAACACCAACAACACCAAACACCGAGACCAGGATGGGACTGATCTGACAGCGGAACAGGATCAACTTCCCCAGTGACTTTTGGACTTTTGGACTTTGGGTTTTCATCCGTCCCCCCTTAGACAATCATTCATTGTCCAAAAAAAAAAAAAACCCTCCATGGGAGAATCCGTCAAAGTCTCAGTCAGTCCATGCGCAACATGACATCTCGCTCCTTGTCCAGCTCGTCCGCGTCGTGTGCTGCATTGGCGAGGTAATAGTCTGTGCCGGTTTCCGTCCCCGTCCCTGGGTCTGTGCCTGTGGCGGGCCCTGCACCGAATCCAGCATCGTCAAAGCCAGTCCAAGGATCCGCGCCAGGACCTGCGCCGAATCCAGCCGCGAAGTCGGTGTCGAACGCATATTCGGTCCCCAGTCCTGTCTGCTGTGCTGGACCGTGACCGTGACCGTGGCCATTATCGTTATCACCGAAATATCCACCGCCAATGAATCCATACTGCACCGGCCCACCTATGGCGCCCATGTTGTCCACGTCGCCCATGTCGTCGGGATAATGCTCCGTCGTGGTGGTGGTGGTGGTGGCGGTCGTCATCGTCGTCGCGGCACTCCTCGCCTGCTCCCTCCAAAACTCCATCTCCAAGACCAACGCCCTCTCACGTCTCGCCCACTCCATCCCGCACGCCCAGTACGTCTGCCTCTCCTCCTCGGTCTGCGCCAGTCTCTGCTCCAACACCTCGACCTCGTGGCGCAGGTCGCTGTTCTCCCTCGCCGACTGCACCAGGTCGGCGCGCAAGTCGTGCAGCTGTTCGGCCGAGATGAGCGTGAGTTTGCCTGGTTGCTGCTCCGCGCCACTTTGTTGTCGTTGTTGTTGTTGTTGTTGTCGTGGTCCCTTGGTCACGTTTCCAGAGTTTCCCTTTGTCTTTCTGCCGTCCGCATCATCGCTTCGCGCGCCTCCAACTGGGTTGTTTGGAACCCCGACAACATTGCCGGTATCATCACTGGTGGTAGTGGTTGTGGTGGTTTTCACTTTCTTGTTACCATGATTACCAACATAGTCACTGCGAACGGGTGTGTCGTGTCGAGTCTTCTGAGTCTGAGTCCCCGCGAACAAAGGCGCTGGTGTACGCGCAGGTTCAGGTGCTGCCGGCATATGTGCTGGTGCACGAGCAGTTGCAGGTGAAGACATCGACATTGCTGGTGCTGCTGCCCCAGCCACAAAGGCCGGCGCCGGCGCAGAAGAAACGGGAGAAGGTTGCGACGGCGCGATCGAGGCAGCCGACTGACGCTGCTCATGCTGCTGGTTTCGCGTCTGCTGCTGCTGCTGCTGTTGTTGCCGTTGGATTCTGCGCTTGCGCGCCCCGGCCTTCTTCTGCGGAAGATTCGACATGACCAGCGGCACGCCAAACTTGTCGCGCGCGACGGGAGTCAGCCCAGTGAGTCGTCGCCGGGGAGGCTCCACGCCCATGACCGCCTCGTGCAGGGCCAGTCCACGGCGGAGACGCTCGGCGCGCGGAGTCTGATCGAGCGGCTCTCCAACGGGCATCTGTGGTCGCTGAGCCTATACATGTCATTCATTGTCAGCCCTGAGTCCGCCCCGTTCATAGTCACGACTCCAACATGGTTCTTTGTGCGCGCGCAGACTGTCGCGAAGGGGACGCAGAGGCCATGGATCAAACAACTCACCTTGTCCTGATTGCTACCGCCGGGTTCTGCCATTTTCGCGGTGTTTCAAAAGACGATGACGAAGTTTTGGGGATGGGGCAACAAAGGTGAGAGTGAAAAAGAAAAGGGAAGGCAACTGTTTTTGCTTGAGAAAAGTGACTTGATCGCGGTACCGGCAGCGACGCGTGACAGCGAGCCCTGATGTCCCAACACAGGGTGCGGTAGCGGTAGCGTGATGCCAGTGACACTCCTTCACTTCTTGTCATTCCTTTCGGACTTGATTCACATTCATTACCTATCTTACATCTGAACGCGATACAAAGGGTGTCCTATTTCTCATACAAGTCAAAAGCATGTGTTCCAACAAGGCTTCATATGGATATCTGTTACCCAGGGAGGATTGTACAAGGAATGCGCGCAATAGCATAAAACTGGCCGCCCAAAAGATGCACAAGTCTGGCTCACATCGCAGTCGTAAGAGATGGTCATTGTTGATGTCGTTGCGGCGCGTCTCTCATCCTTTGGCGTTATATTTGTCGTTGAACGCGTTCACAGCTAGCACCACCGTTGTTAGCATCTCTTGATCCTTTCCAGTGTCAAGGACGACTTACCAATAGCAATTTGTTTGTATAGCCAATTCCTGCTGCCCTCATCCGCCACAGGGATGAAAGGCCCATTGGCTCCTCCTTTCAATCCGATACTCATCCCCGTCCGTTCCTTACTGATGGTTTGCACGTCCGTCAGTTTAATATCCCACTCCATACGCAACTTCTTGGTCCGAATCATCAAGATGCGATCATAGGTGATCATCACCATCATGTCGCCACCCTCGAGCTCCAAGTGGGCAATGTATTCTTCGTTGAAATACCGACCATCGTCGCAGGTCTTTAGCCAGAACTGACCCAGGGCTTCACGTTGGGAATATGGCCGCACAATCCCATCCATGCCGATAAACCGCGTCAGACGAACACGGTCCAGGCCCTCGGAATCGAAAACCGTCGTCGTATTGCGGACTCCTTCGGCCACGTTCGAGGCGAGATCGAAGGCACCAATGGCGGGCTTGGTGGCCAGACCCAGGAACCCCTTCCCAACGCCTTTGACAAAGCCTAGAGCACCCTCCTTTTCTGCTCCCTCCAACGGATGTCGGGCCAGGCCTCCGATACCACTTGCCATGCTTGCGGCAAAAGCGTTGCCTCCAGCAGTGACACCGTACAGGGCATGTTTGGGTCGATTCCGGCTCTTTGACATTCGCCTCTGGTCTTGGAACTCCTTGTCCATGGTGGCAGCTGCCAGACCTTTGGAAATGGAACCGCTGAACTTGGCCATGCTGTCGCTGAAGCCAAAGACCGACTTCTTCACAAAACTGCTGGCTCCTTTGGCGATGCCAATCCCGAGCTCCTGCGGCCTGTCGGTCATCACCAGACCTTGGTACGGCTCGTAGAAGATGTCGGCGACACCAGAACTGATGTTGTTGAACAGCCCCACGGGGTTGCCGAGGAAGTCGGCCGATCCGAGAATAATGTGGACTTGACGGAGCACTTCCTGCGTGTAGTGGTTTTGAATGTTGGCCATCAGCGCTGGGACAGATATCCTTGCATTTTCGAGCATCAAAGCGTTCAGCCGAATGGGTGCGTCGTTGACGTTTCCTATCGACATGGTCATGACATTGACGAAAAACATCAGCGGACTGTTGACAAATGTATCCTCAGCATTGATGCGCTCTGTTCGGACAAAGGAGAGATCGAGCTGGATGGGTTGCAGGTGCAGCAGCTCGAAATAGACATCTTGACCCTGTTCTTCTCGTGTGGGTTCAGGCACGTCCAGGCTCTCGTCGCACAGTTTTCCTTCTTTTTCCTCTGACCATGACGCACCGGGTACTTTCATAAAGTCGAGCATTGCAAAGATAAAGTCCTCATCAAGCTCAACCGTGATCTGTTGCAGAAGCAGTGTGGCATATTTGATATAGAGCACACCGTATGAATCATCCTTGACCCTTGTGACCATCGTGTGGAAAATGGGATGCGCCTCCATCTCTTTGCCGGTTTTGGGCACCACACTCGGGTACAGTAAGATTGGGAAGATGCCGCCATAGAGTTGGTTGTCGATCTGTATCCATTTCACGGTGAAATTCAATGTTTGGTAGAGCTTCGAATCTCCATACTTGAGCTCCATCTCCCGGAAGGTGATGTACATGAGTTCCTTCAACTTGCTGTTGACGAGCGAGATCCCGATCCCAGCCAGTCGTAGCTCGGCCTTGAAGTTGACCTCCGATTCGATTTGTTTGACTTCGAATCCTTGATTGAGGCTTGTCTGCGACGCGCTCGTCATACCTGTCTTCTGCCGGTACAGCGACCTGGACGGTTTGTAGTTCGACAACACCAGTGTCTGTGTCGGTCCGTCGGCAACGATGTTGACGTCGATCACCTTCATAACTCCACCACGGTCATCCGGTGGCAGCTTGATTGGGATCAAGTTGCCGATTTCCGCCAATTTGACGTACCTCTCCCGTCCCCTAGCGGTAAGGACGAGCTCCTTGTTCTTGGAAGCGGGATAATCCCAGGCGTACGGCATGATGCTTCGCGGAGGGAGCCGGTAGCGAATGGGCTTCCAGCCACTTCCTTTGTCTTCTTCCTCGTCCTCACCCAGGTTGGGGTTGGCCTGGAAGAACAAGAATTCCGTGTCACTCTCGTTTCTCATGGAGAAGGGCCAGTGCTTTGTCTCAATGCTGAAGTGCAAGAACAAGGTAGCATCCTCGAGAATGATCTCGACGCGGACAAGCCGCTGTCTCTGGCCATGTTTGGCGAGTTTGACATGGGTCATGCCGACATTGGCCATGTTGAACGGGGATGACCACTGGTTGTTGACTCCTGGGAAGCACAGACAAAGCTGTTTCTCGGGCGACTGCCGCATGAAGTACATGGGTAAGAGATCATTGTTCTTCATTTTCCAGACCTCGGACGATCCAGGTTCTCGCAGTTCAATGTCTTCCCCAATCTTATTTTTCAGCACGAAGCGTGGTGCCATGGTTACAACTTTCGTCAAGCTGTACTTGCCTTCACCTTCTGCCACGGACACTCCGACATGCATCTCAGACTTTCCAGAGGCAGCGGGCAAGACGACCTCGTACGAACTTCCAATTGCGTCGAAACTCTGTGGCTTGCTCCACATGGAATCGCCGATCTTGAGAAGAGAACGATTCTTGCGGTCATCGGTGCCGTACGAATACAACATTGGCAGAGCTGTTCCTTCTCCAGAGCTTGTCCGCGCTCCCTGAGGCGACGAAGCCTTCGAGGAAGACCCAAAGAATGCTTTGCTCTGAACGCTCATCTCAAGCCCAGTCTTGTTCAAAAGGACGTACGGACTGTAAACCGATACTCTGAAGGCTCCTCCGCTGTCTTTGATGTTGGTGTAGTGAAGCTTCAATCGCAATTGAGCCCCTTTCTCGTCCTTCAGCTGCAGCACTTTCTCTCGACGGAACCCCTCTTGGGTGTCGCTATTGATGATTGCAAAGTCACTCTGTTTGAAGGGTGCATCCTCCACCTGAACGCTCAGTAAGAGAAGGTGAGATAGCTCCACGACATGCACTGGGCTCACGCCACCTTTACGTAGAAAGTTCGTCCAGTCCTTTTTCGTATTCTTGTCATAGATGCGGTACTTGAAATCGTATGGTAGCAGGTTCTGTATCTCGACCGGCGCCGAGACTTGAATTCTCATGTGAGGATAGACTTTTGTGATTGGGTCTTTGTCGTCGTACGATGCATGCATCTGGAAAAAGAAAGGTGGTGACTCGTCTCGGCCTTCCGACTCGCAAGTGAGGGCCCTGGTCTGCCTTTTCAGAAGGTCTTTCCAGAACAGCCGTTCATTAGACCAGCCATAACCAAATCCCTGGTCCGGGCGTATGACCAATGAATGGACAAATGCTGCTCCAACAGGGGCAGGTTTGCCTTCTCCGGGAGGGATTTTCTCTATTTTGAGCAGATGGCCTTCGTCTGGGCTGTAGACGCCAACCTCGATGGGTATCTGAGTCTTGTTTTCCACGAGGAGAGGCGAGCGGAAAGTGATGTATTTGACATTGTCAGAACCCAGTCGAACCTCGACGAGCATCCGGTGCTGGACACCATCCTTCCTGGGCTTGAGGTTATACAGGGTTTCTCCTTCACGGATAACAGGAATCCGGACGACGCTGTCGAACCCGCTGCCCTCGAGCCGGACGCCCACCAAGCCAGCATTACCCTCAGGCGAGAGACTCTCACGCATCGAGGTTGCGTCTTCGAAACGCCATGCATATTCTTCGCCATCGGAGAGTTTGGCTGCAGCCGCACTGTCGCTCTTCTCGTCCGCCCAGACACTCAGATCGAACCCAGTATAATTGCGGATTCGATACGGCGCGTCGGCCACCCGCGGCTTCGACAGAATGTCTTCGTCTGTTGAGAGAAAGTTGAAGGATTTGGATGCAAGTGCGATCGTGGCGGACGTCATCGTCAATTCCATATTCTTGTGCGAATAGAGCTCCATGGATAACACTTCGGGGTGGAGTTGTTTGGACATGTGAAATCCTAGTGTCCAAGGCTCGATCAATGGCTCCCACGCCGACTTTGAGAAGTTGTATACATTGATGAAAGTATCGATCTTGGTGTCAGCTGTCAAGGAACTGGACCAGTCACGAACATCCACATCAAACTTCTTCACACTCCAATCCAACAAGGGAAGTTCGTGCATGTCTCCAATCAATATAATCCGCATGCCTTCGATCTGCGCAATCATCTCTTCCCGACTCAAGACTACTGACTTCGAAGACTGGGGTTGTGATCCCGGTTTGGCCGACTTTGAGATCGACTTTGACCTCCTGGACCTCTGTGCTGCGGTTGACTGCCCTGCTATCGACTTGCGCCTCGTTGAAGGGGCTTTGGAGGATGCTTTGACATCTTTAAGTTTCTTCGGCTCTGTATCTTCTTGCATCTTCATTTGTGGTGTTGTAGACGAAGCCTTGCTGACAATCTGCATCGCCAGTAGAATGTCACGAAGGGATAGACGGAGAACCAGGGGCTCTACATCAATGTGAATCGTCGTCAACGAGGAGTCGTTCCCTTGGCTTCGGCTATCCATAGACATCTGGATGCTGAAGTCGTCTAAAATCCGAAGTCGGCTCGTTTCGAAGCGATCCATCCTGCATAGAAACATACCCACCTTACTGACCTGCAGCGTCAGCGCGTTTTGCTTTGACACGAGTACTTCCTTGGTACCAAGCACGATGGCCTCAGTATTGGATATGGTGGGGTTCGCGATGAGGATAACCTGCGCGTCCACGACGTTGAGTCGGAATGACACCGTCATCGCTGGCTGGCCGGATGATACGGGTTCTTGGATGCCATTTTCTATTTGGCCTCGCCCTTCTTCGAGGCTTGCGTCGCTGCTTTCAGTCAAATCGTCCACTTCAGCAATCGGCGACGGCTCGTCGGACTGTAGCGCCGTGTTTGCAAATGCCTGAAGCGCAAAGACGTAGTCCAAAGCGACAATAATCCGGGGACTATCAATGGTAAGCATGACGATCATGTGGCGTTCTTCTCCACCCGTAATCGATAGACTCGCCATGAACTGTTGCTGCACATCGTTGTTGATCAAAGACATTATCTTCCGGAACTTATTTGTTTCTTTCGTGCGACTGTCGCGAACGGTGAACGAGTGGACCACGAGCTCTGCCTCCATAGCACCGTCGCTAACCATCCTTAATTTGATATTTGTCTCATTTATGGAAAATTTTGACAGGCTGGCTGCTTCGAGGTTTTCAATCGGCTCGTCTTCATCCGCCAGGATCAGTTCCAAGGCGATCATTGGGGCCTTGAATACGAAGTTCAATTTGGTCCACGTTTCATCGCCATTTCCGAGTTCAGGACCCTGATATGACGGCTTGGTAAGAGACTCGGAAGTGGTCGTCTCGGGCTGGACATCCTTTGCGCTTTCTGTCGTGGCAGAGGGCAGTTCCTCGGCAATATCCTCCTCGCTTTCATCGTCGGTTGTAAACGCTGCCGGAATCGTTTTGGATAGTTCCAGCAAGAACTTGAGTTGGGTGTGAGAAACTCTCAGGTTGATCGGTGACATGGACCCATCAATTTCGAGATCCGGTCTCTCGATGCCTGCCTGGTGTTCAAGGTAACGGATTTTGAAGTCAAGATCGACCTTGTCAATCATTTCCAGCTCCTGGGACCTGCCGTCGCTGTAGTGGAATTCGCTGGTCAGGCGGATGTGTCTGATGCCGGCCGCGAGCTTGTTGACGAGAGGGCCACCCCTTTGGCCGTGGACACCGACAAATCTGTTATTTGCATATATTTCGCCGAGATAGGCCGTGAGGAGATCACGAGGTCGGTCATCCACCATGGCCCGGGGGAAAACGACGATTGGTGTTTTGATAATGACGTCAAAGTGCATCTTCTGTGCGCTTTCCTGTACCTGCGTGGCTTGGTTTGCTGCCGCCTGTCTGGCTGCGTTGAAGATGGCTTGCATCTTCCCAAACTTGACCCCGAACTCCATGATCTTCCGGAAAGGCTCCTCGAGAAAGTTCACTTTGATCGAACCTGACCGAAGATAGATTCCCGAATCATACCCTGGGTAGTCCTTGCGGGCAGAGCTGAAGGTCTGGTATTTGAAATCCGCTAGATCGTCTCCTTCAATGGCGATCAGCCGGCGCAACGGTGATTCTTCGGGCGCACCCTGGTTGATATCATCCACTAACGATAGGCTCCCGAGTCTTGCCTTGACCTGCATTGTGCCTTCGTCGAGGAAGATTCCAACGTCACCAGAGTTCAGGGACAATGTGGCAAGCCGGACGCCGTCGTTGTTCAGAATGAGCGCAATGCTGGTTAACTGGGCCTTGATTCTGATCTTGTCTGCTTGAGGCTTTGCTTGTTGAGAATCATCGACTCTCTCTTCCAGTTGGTCTGCATCTTCTTGTATCGTTTGTTGGTCCCTGGGACTCGCGAACGTGGTAAGGACAAAATCCAGCAGAGTCAGGAGCGTCCGTCTTGTGACAATGACATTGATGGTAGATACAGCCACGTCGAGGTTGGTAGCGATACCTTCGTAGGTAGATTGCAATTCGGGTGAATCCGGATTGACCTTGACAAACTTGAGGTCAAGCAAGTCCTTTCCCTCCTCTGCATTGAAACCCTTGGAAGATATTATCTGCTTGAACTCGGGTAGTGGCTCCTCTTCGATGTGGTCATCAACGCTCAACGAACGCAGCAACACCTCAGCCACCATATCGTACGGGCGAAGATAGAAGTCAAAATAGAAGTGCTCCGCCACGAGTTCTACCAACAACTGGTCTGGTTTCTTGCCATCTGGATCTGCTTTGTACAATGAAGCCTGCAATCTTTCGACCGTGAAGTTGATTTCAAAATTGCGTTGATGTATGTTGGCAGGTGTTTCGGGTTTGGTCGGAGGTGGCTTATCCGCGGGAGCATCTTCTGAATCAGAATCGTGTTCAATGATCGGCATATCCTTTGCTTCGAGCAGTTGCACGGATTTCCTCTTCGATGCTTTATCTTCGAGACTTTTCTGCGGTTGTAACTCGACGGCGTTGCCGTTTGCCCCCGTGCTCGGAGTATCGAATTTTGGAACCGCAACCTCAATCAGCCTCATCAGGTTTTTGTATTTCTTGTCTGATATGGAGGCATGGAGAACGGGCATCGTGCCAGAAATGCGGACCTTTGTTATATCTGGGGCTTTCGGTATGATTGAGTTCTCCAGGAGAAAGGCCATGTTTATGCGATCAATGATGTGCATGTTTTGCGAGTCGTCTTCTGCTTCCAGCTGCGCTCTCGTCTCCTCGATGCCAGGGCCGATTAAAACCTGTGTCGATTCGAGCTTCAAGTGGAATTTGTCGTACATCAGGCCTTCAAGCTGTCTGTAGTCCTCTTCGGTATACTTCTGCTTTTGCTTTGCGTGGATGTCCCGCATTGACTCCTTGTCAACGAGTTCGCTGTTGAGGCTGACATGGCCAGCATCGAGGATCATGCAGAGGGTGCTCTTTTCCGTGATACTCTCGGGAATGATGAGTATAGGGGCGTGGATGTCCAGATTTGCATTGATTGTCTTGTGCTCTTCCAAGGCAAATTCAAGGCCTGCGCGCGTCTGTTGGCGAATTTCTTCCACTGTTGCACCTGCAGTCTCGAGTAAGGCGCCGATGGATTCCATCTGGCGTTCTGGAGGTTTAAAAAACTTGACGATCTCCACCACGAACTTGGGATTGTGGATGAACTCGAGACTCTTGAGTTTCAGATCGACTTTTGTGTCAGCACTTTCATCGAGGGGGTTATTTTCGAACACCAGGTGGAACAAGCTGTCTTCTTCCTGGTCCTCTTTCTCTGCGGCTGCATCCTTGGCCTCCGCCTCGTCGTCCAAACTTTCAGCGTCATCTTGATTGACCTCGTCTTTAGGCTGAATATCGACCCCTTTGACCTTGACAATCTGTGGGAACAATGTTCCTTCCGTCGTGCCGTCGTACACGCGAAAGCCTCCCAGTGCCAACTCAGCTAGGAAAGAGTCAGGTCGTTGAAGGGCCTTCGCCTTAAAATTGTCAAACACCAATTTCAGGACCTCGGTCTCTTGCCCATGAGGGTCTCGTTTCAAGGTGAAGCTGCCAGTTCTGAGACTTGATTCGACTTGGAGCTTGACGCTTTCCCGGGGGAGGTCAACACTCTCGGCGATTGCTTTCTTCTCGTCCCAGTCAATGGCGTTGTAGAGCTCTTTGCGCTGTTCTTCCGTCATGCCAGAGTCTTCATCACCATCTGGGGTCTGTTCGGCTTTTGCGCCCCAGATCCAAGACGACCAAGTTTGCTTTTGGGCTGGCTTCTTGACGCCGACATTCTCCTTTCGTAGCTGGGTACGAGCAAGCGACCGCCAGAATCGTAGATCCTCGTAGCTCAGATCGTGCTCGAGTTGGGTCAATTCATTTGTTTCTTGCTCGGTGAGCTTTATTTCCTTCTTCTTTTTCTTGAAAAGGTCAATGTATTTTAGTCGGGTGTCTCTGCGTTCCTTGAAATACTCCCAGGTCCACTTCCTGTTTCGCTCGTGAATCTTCGTCAGAACCGCATTGCCGGCGAATTTGAGCCAGGCTCGAGGATTCTCCTTTGGGCTCTCCTTTGGCGCGTCTTTCTTGTACTCGTGATGGCGAACAAAGTAGTGCATTAGGTCCACAAGCATCAGCGCGTCGCGATATTGTTCATCGTCAATGATGAATCCGAGCTCCTGGAAAAGCAGACGCGCTTTGGTCTTTGGTCTGTCTGTCCTGCCCGTCTTGTCCATCTCAATCCCTGCCCGACCGCTGACAGGTTTGAGCAAATATTGTGAGTGGCCCGTATCTTCTATTTCCTCCCTGAACCGGCGTATCAGCTCATCCTTGTCAATGTCTTGAGCTTCGGCGCCAACATCACCACCCTTGCCGGTTCCAAACAGATCCGCGTCACTGTTCCAATAGAGAGCCAGCGAGTTCAAAACGGCCAATTTATGAGTGGTCCCAGAGGTTGATTGGATGAATGTAGGCTGCCAGTCAGCATCAGTTGAGACGGCGCTCATTTCCTTTAGTGTGAAGCCCACGGCGAACGGGTGGCCAGGCGTTGCGATAGAGTCTTCGTATCGGATGTGGACATTTTTTATGCTGACTTGGAGGTTATCGACGATGGCCGTGACAAAACTCTGCGTGAAGCTCTGGCTCTTTTGTTGTTCCTCCGGACTCATGGCCTCGGTGTTGCGCTCCTTGAGAAGCTCGGCACTCTCCAATTTTTCCAGCTTTACAGCTACCGCCCGCCTATCCTCCTCGTCGGGGTCGTAGTCATCTTCCTCCTTGGGCGCTGCGAGCAGAAAGACGTCTTCAATGTTGACTTTGACGGGCTTTCCTCTTAGATTGGACCACGGTATTGACAGGGTTAATTCACCCAAGTGGCCTTCTACCACATTGATTGGCAGATGCAGTTGGTCAAGAGCCTCCCTTCGCAGTGCAAGGTTGCGCAGCTTGACGTCGCCCGACCAGATGCCCACATTGAGTTGCTTGGGATCGAAGTTCTTGACGTACATGCCCAAGAACCGATTGAGCAGATTGGCAACGAGACTTTCCAACATCTTTGCGCGACTTGGCCGTTACCCAGGCCGGGATTAACAAAGAGCCTTATCTGTACGAAATGGACATATGGTGAGGATGCAAACCTGTGCCGGAGATGATGCAAAAACGGCCAAGAAGAAACAGGACAACAGAACTCAAGGCTTCTCCAGTGCCGTGGACAATCACGAAGTTGAAAATGTGGCACAGCCACCAGACTGTGGCGGGGCAAATCAGGTTGTATCAGACGGCGAACTGAAAAGTCCAATCTTAGCACCCAAACAACAAGTACGACGCCAGACTGTAGGACAAAAGCAAAATGATGCAAAGGAGGGACTGGAATTCTCCCCTTGTGGCTTTTCTTCAGCTTCAGGAAGAAGTTGAGATGCGGGAAACTTGAATGATGAATTCGATTCAATTGCTTGCGCCTGGCGATTCATTACGTCAGAGGGTGCAACAAGCGCCGCCGCCGCGCAGCAAGCGCCACCACCACACCGCAGTCAGGAGAAACGCGACGACGGTGACAAGCATTGATGATACCTATCCCGCGAGCGTGATGCCTATGCGCCGTGTACCTCGGAATTCGCACCTACTTCACCACTGCAATCACTGGTACGGCTCCGCTGTCGGCGAGGTTGCTACTATCACCACCAGCACCACGGGTGCTTTTCCCCTGATGAAAGCGGTCGAAATCACCTGTCCGACCACTCCTCCGATTCTCTCCCTGCGCGACACCCGCTCATCGAAGCCTCTGCCATTTTAGAGAATATCGAACTCCGCACCTCTCATTTTCACTTCGAGTCCTGACCTCTCCCTCGCCCACCCTTCACCGCCCCCAACGATGAGGCGTCGCCGCCTTCAATAACCTGCAGATATGGGGATTCGCATCACGACGTGGAATGTCAATGGTATCCGCAACCCATTTGGATATCAGCCATGGAGAGATAAGAGGACGTTTGAGGGCATGTTTGACATTCTGGAGGCGGACGTGGTCATCTTCCAAGAAACCAAAATTCAGAGAAAGGATCTCCGCGACGACATGGTGTTGGTGCCTGGCTGGGATAACTACTGGAGTCTCCCTAAGCACAAGAAAGGTCTCAGCAACCCATGGAAATTGCTTGGGCTACACTAATGTTCACAGGATACTCTGGCGTGGTCATTTACACGCGTAATGCGACATGCGCCCCTGTGAGAGCCGAAGAAGGCATCACCGGTATCCTGACCCCTCCGAACACCTCTACCAGCTTTCGAGACTTACCCGACGAGGAGCAGATTGGAGGATACCCAAACGCTGAACAGTTGTCCGAGGCAGACTACGACCCGGCCACTCTCGACTCCGAGGGAAGATGTGTCATACTCGAATTTCCCGCCTTCGTCCTCATTGGTACCTATTGTCCGGCCGAGCGAGACGAGACACGAACCCACTATCGCACGAGCTATCTTCGGGTGCTCGACGCAAGAATACGCAACCTGGTGAAAATGGGCAAAAGAGTGGTCTGGGCAGGCGATTTCAACATATCCAGGGAAGAGATTGACACTGCAGCGGCACAAGAGAACATGCGAAAGAACGGGATTGACGCAGTCCAATGGATCTCCACCCCGGCGCGGAGGATGTTCAACCAGTTGCTTGTGGGCGGCAAAGTCCATGGGGAGAGGGAGGAGGGAAGAGAAACACCGATCATGTGGGATCTTTGCCGGGGTTTCCACGAAGGTCGCAAAGGCATGTACACTTGTTGGGAGACCAAAGTCAATGCTCGACCGGGTAACTACGGTTCAAGGATTGATTATGTGGTGTGCAGCCATGACATAAAAGACTGGTTCAGTGATGCAAACATACAGGAAGGGCTAATGGGGTCTGATCACTGCCCAGTCTACGCGGTATTGAAGGACACTGTGGTTGTTGATGGAGTCGAGCGACATATACTTGACATGGTCAACCCACCGGGCATGTTCGTAGATGGTGAGCGCAAACAGGAATGGACCACCAAATGCTTGCTTCCGATGTCCGGCAAGCTGATACAAGAGTTCGACAAGCGGCAAAGCATTCGGGACATGTTCACACGGAAGCCGTCGCTCCTCAAGTCAAAGAGCAATATTGGCGATTTGGACACCAATGGTGCAGCTGTTGATGTACCCGAGGCAGCAATTATGGCGGGTGGCGACGCTCCGACCTTTTCTCAAGCGGCAAGTTCCTCTGATCTGTCAAAGACAACATTGAATGTTTCTTCGAGCACCAAAACTATCAGCGTGAAGAGGCCAGCAAGAACAATCGAACCACCGACGCCGGTGAAACGCGGCAAGACGGCATCTCAAACAACGTCCAACGGCAAGGGCCAGCAGAGTCTCAGAGGATTCTTTTCCGCCAAACCACCCGTTGCTCAGGCTCGTGACGTAGATGGCCCCGTCGCTGAAGCAAAAGTTGAAAAAGAGCCCCAAGAGCTGGAGACACTTAGAGCTGCTGTGCCGCTCGAAGAAGAGGCTGCCAGTTTCGCAGCCAAGCAGACCTGGGGCAAATTATTTTCAAAGCCTGTGGCACCGAAATGCGAGCACGGCGAGCCATGCAAAACCATGGTGACCAAGAAGCCCGGCGCTAATTGCGGAAGATCTTTCTGGATGTGCGCGCGCCCACTGGGTCCCAGCGGAAAGCAGGAGAAAGGGTCGCAGTGGAGATGCAATACCTTCATCTGGGCTAGTGATTGGGACACGCATGCCACTGAGCCGGGTTGAATGAAGAAGAGAGCATGATATGGAGGACACTTGCGCCACTACGATCTTCCCAGAAGCGGCAGCCCACTCTTAATCCCGGGGATACATGGGCACCGGTTCAGTCCGGAAAGAGAATCAGCCCGTTCCTTATTTGGGGTCCCGAGCAAAGCAATCGAGCGAGGCCGTTTTGAACAACATTCTCCACGGGGAGCGCAAAGTTGGAAACTTCAGCATCAGCCTAGAAACATGGCATAGCGAGGATACAGATCGCTCGACCCGATGACAAGTGTTGGAGAAATAAGCAGGATCTTGAGCAAGAGGATTGCTAGTCTCGGGCCACCCCTTGCCGTCCATCTGACGCAGGGAAGGATGAGAACTTGAGAGTGACATGACACAAATCAGAAATGCGACAAAGCCAGCCAAGCCAGCCTCATAGGGCCTCATAGCAACATCGGGCGAACAGGCTGTATACTGCGTACTAGAGACAGAGGTATGGACATGTTTCTCGCTCTTCCACTCGTACCCTCATATGCTTCATTCTCTCATTTCGGATCGGAAGGGAGATATGGAAGTGGAAGGAGGAGGGTCACTTGATCCATATTGATCCATAGAACTCGGCTGGAAGAGGCGTGGAGGGTAGAGGATAGAGGGAGTGATGTCTGTGGTTGTCAGTTCCGATTTCTAGTAGTTGTGGTAGTGGTGGGAGAGATAAAAGTCCTTGGTCCCTTCCCATGCCGTGCTGTGCCGTGCGTGACATATACCTACCTCAGCGACATTGCTTCGACTTCCGAGTGCCTCCAGGCTTGCGCTTTGCGTGTTGCATGTGTACCCGCGTGTGCGTGCGCATGCACATTCGTGATTATTTGGGTCCTCGGTATATTTCCCTCGCCGCACTTTCCTCTTCCAGCCCTGCTTCCGGTGATGGTCATCCGCGGCGTGTTGATTGGCTGCTCGGTAGATACGTAGGTGCTTACATAGGCATGGACCTAGCAGCACCTTGGCACCTTGGCACGTGGCGATACGTGGTGTACAGGACATGCTTGTGCACTTATTATTTTGATGTCCATCCACCCACTGGTGGACATGTACGTACTAGGTACATATGTACGAGGGACTTTGTCAGATACGCGGTGAATATGCAAACGATATATCCAGTCGTTGTCGGTACATTGCTACTGGGCCCCGCCCTCCGTGTAAAGACAGAAACCAAATCGGGCCTGACCGCCTACCTCTCTCACCACATCTTCTCCCACGTTCTCCTGACAAAGTTCATCTGGGCCAACCTCGCCTTCTCGACCTCGTTGAACCCACCTTCCTCCCAGATCCTGCACTCCTCGTCGATCTCGGCCTTGCCGCTCCAGATGTCGCACGTCTTGGGATCAACCCACTTTGTACGCTTGACAATCTTCCAGAGCAAAAAGGTAAAGACCCCAAAGGCGAGTCCAAAGTAGCTCGTGACGAAACCCTGCGTGCTCCACGGCACGAAGCAGTCGAAGCCGATGAACAGCATGATGAGGCAGCCGACCACGATGGCCATGTACGCCGTGTAAGGCGCAAAGGGCGCCTTGTAGGGGAGTGTGTTGCGGTCGATTCCCTGGGCCTTGAGCGCGCGGTACCAGCCCAGGTAGGTCCAGACCATGCACGTGTAGGTCAGCACAAAGGTGATGGTGCAGATGGAGATGAACCAGAAGAACACCGTCACCGCCGAGTTGGAGGCCACCAGGTACGTGATCAGCGAGATGACCGTCACCACGAGGACACAGTACGTCGGAATCCCCGATTTGGTGCACTTCATCAAGAACTTGGGCGCGTGTCCGTCCCGGGCGAGCGAGTAGAGCGTCCGGCTCGTCGAGTAGAGGTACGCGTTGCCGCACGAGAGGCCGGACAGGAGAATCAGGGCGTTGATGAAGCTCGGGAGGCCTGTGATGCCCAGATTCTGAATCCCCAGCACCCACGGCGAAGCCGCCGAGCCGGCTTTCCCGTCGTTGATGGCGCTGATCAGCCGAGGATCTCGAGACGAGCAGATGATCCCGACGCAGAAGACGCCCACAACGTAGAAGCCCACCAGCCGGTAGAAGACGAGACGAGCGACACGGGGAATGGTCCTTCGCGGGTTCTGGATCTCGCCGGCCGCCAGAGCGATCAAGTCTGGTCCAGCCACTGTGAAGGCCGCATATCGAACGACGCTCCAGAAGCCGAGGAAGCGTCCGGTGGTGCCAGTGGTGTAATATGGGTGCATGGCCAGGCCGTGCTTCCAGTAGCGGAAACCATAGGCGTCATGTTTCGGATTCCCCCCAACCATGGTGATGAAGGTGAG